CCCCACGGCGCCGCCATCACCTCCTCCGGGGAGCTTTACAGCTGGGGCCTGGGGGAATATGGCCGCCTGGGACACGGCGACAACACGACACAGCTGAGACCGAAACTTGTACGCTTAATTTGGCGTTTCTGCTTCAGTCGCACATGAATTATCGTGTCATTTGGTGTTTTTTTTTGTGGCACCCAGGTGAAAGTGCTTCTGGGACACCGTGTGATCCAGGTGGCCTGTGGTAGCAGGGATGCTCAAACGTTAGCTCTCACTGATGAAGGTATTCCTCAAGGATAGAATATCTTAGAATTTGTCATTGTTCAAGAGACGATGAAAATCAGTTTAGCCTTGTTCTGTTTGAGATTGCCAGACTTGATCATATTCATTAGCCAGAGGAGCGCCTTTAAAAGTCTCAAACGAAATAGCTCTCACTCATAAAGGTATTCTAGTTTATTCCCGAATAGACTACACTGGAATGTCTTTGTCAGAGGATGACACATTATTGTTTTATTCTTATTTTTTTTTTTAATCAGTTGACCGAAGTATGTATTCATTGTGCTTGGGAAAGTAGCAGTTATTTAAAATGGACGTGCAGCAGGCTAAAAGCTGTTTTCCCTGACAGGATTGGTGTTCTCGTGGGGCGACGGGGACTTTGGGAAACTCGGTCGCGGCGGGAGCGAAGGATGCAACATTCCCCAGAACATTGAAAGGTTAAACGGGCAAGGCGTCTGCCAGATTGAATGCGGCGCTCAGTTCTCCTTGGCTCTCACCAAATCGGGCGTGGTGTGGACCTGGTAATGTGGACCCGTGACATGATGCGTAACTCATTACATGTCCTGGTTTTGAACCGCTTTGTACTTCCATCCGCACACACAGGGGCAAAGGGGACTACTTCCGACTGGGCCACGGCACTGATGTCCATGTGCGGAAGCCTCAAATGGTAGAGGGGCTGAGAGGCAAAAAGATTGTCCATGTCGCAGTGGGAGCCTTGCATTGTTTGGCTGTTACCGATTCTGGACAGGTTTGTATGGCGCTGTGGCATTTGTGATCACGAACCGGCACCGATGTTTAGTGCAAGCATGAGAATTGCAGCATCCCTTCGTAAAAACACACGAGTTCTGTGTACACAATTGCATGTTTTTGATGACCAGACAGCTCAATGTTAAATTTGAGCGGGATGGCAGCAGCCAGGTTAGAAGACACAAACACGGTGTCACTGAATACAAACAAGCTCGAGCTAAAAATACACAACAAACAATTGGATGTTTGTGACCGAGTGGCAGCTCAATGTTTATTATGAGGAGGACACAAACAGAGCTTCACTTTGTACAAAACAAATTAGATGTAAAAATATGCGATGAACAATTGTTTTCTGGACTGCCCTGAAAATTTGAAGAAAATCTGAAGGGGAAAAAAATGCAGGTTTGACATGGAATGTGCCGTACACTATCCACAATTTTCTCGCATGCTGACGGATCAGGTATACGCGTGGGGCGACAACGACCACGGGCAGCAGGGCAACGGCACCACTACCGTCAATCGGAAGCCCACCCTGGTGCAAGGTCTGGAGGGCCAGAAGATCACCAGGGTGGCCTGCGGCTCCTCGCACAGCGTGGCCTGGACCACCGTTGATGTAACTACGCCCTCCGTGCACGAGCCAGTCCTTTTCCAGACAGCCAGGGACTCGCTGGGGGCGTCTTATCTCGGTGAGGCTCCATGCTGTACATCTGCAGTGGTCCAACTTTTGGGCTCAAGGGCCCCTGTTGAATCTTTAGCGTGAACAAATGAGCCAGCTCATTTGTGGATGAATTGAAAAGTAATTTATTCTCATGTGTTTAATTTTATTTAAAATTAATTCAAATTAACAAGAAAAAAAATTGGCTCAAACTTTAGCCCGCCCCTGCTTGAAATGCTTTCACCCATTTACCCGCTTCCAAATGCAGCATTATTTGCTCGCCACCAGGGGGCACTGGATAGTTTAGTAACAGCTGGTGATGGTTTTTTTTTTTTTTTTTTTTTTTTTTTGAAAACACCGGCAGGCGTCCAGTCAGACAGCGACCCGTCAGCGGCCAGCAACAAAATGATCGGTCAGAGCAACGTGAAACCCAATCGACCGTCGCTGGCCAAAATTCTCCTCAGTCTGGATGGCAACCTGGCCAAGCAGCAAGCCCTCTCTCATGTGCTCTCAGCCCTCCAGATCATGTATGCCAGGTATGTTTTGCTGCCAATTCCCAAAGAACCTCAAAAGACCACCATCGAGCGCCGCTTAATTGTTGCGCAGGGTTCTTCAATGATTTTCTTTTCTTTTTTTTTTTTAAGCGTGGCCGACTGTCTGCATTTAGTTTTGCCTTAAAACACACAAAAACACACTCTCTGTAATTGATTAAAACCATGCCAACGCTCCAAGTGATGCGATTTAATAAATGTGAAAAGTCTCATTGCCCTTTACATACATTTAAATGACCGTGGTTGTTCTGTGCTCCCCCAGGGACGCGGTGGTGGGAGCTCTGATGCCAGCCAGCATGATTGTGCCCGCCGAACGTCCTTCCAGCTCCCCCGTGCCTCCATTCGACTCGTCGTCTTCATCCAGCGTCAGTGATGACGAAGGGCCTCCCGTCACGCCGGAGATGGAGGCGCCGGTCAGCCCCAATCCTTGGCAAGACAAGAAGGGCGAGGTACATAACCCACGATATGGCCCCGTTGATTCATTTGTGTTCAAAATAATAGCCGCACAGCACGACTTACCAAAGCCGTGTGTGGATGGAGCTAATCTATTGGCAAAATGTATCCCTCTGTTAAAAAAAAAAAAAAAAAGACACGCTAACCAGTTTACGCTACAATTTGCACACTGTTATGTTGAACGCAACTGTACATTTGGTTTAAAAAAAAAAAAAAAAAACATCAGTTATTAAAGCTTGTTGTTGATGTTACTTTGTGTGTGCGTGTGTGTGTGTGTGTGTGTGTGTGGGTGCACGTGAGTAGGTTCCCTCTTCGGAAGACGCCGTGACGCCATCGTCTGCCATCACTCCCTCGGCCTCGGGCGCATCCTCACGTCCTTTCATCCCCGTCACAGATGACCCGGGAGCCGCCAGCATCATCGCAGAAACCATGGCAAAGACCAAAGAGGCATGTTCTAGACATTAAATATGAGCTTTATAGAACATCAAATGTGCTGTAAATATGGTCCATTAGCTATGAATAGACAATTATGCAACATGTAATTATGGTACATTAGAGCTGAATCGTCCATTAAATATGTCTATAATTCCAGGTGTTGACACATCATGATGTTAATGGATACATTCGACTTGCATGCAGCTTGAATATTAATACATGTGTCAATATGATACATGAAAGACATATGACAATATTAATGTGGTACATTAGAGTTGAGTCGATCTTTAAAGGGACGCTGTGTAAATATGGTACATTAGATTAGAAGTATATCGAACATGAAACCGGAATATTGTAAATATAGTAGAATTCCTTAGAAATGTATTTAAAGTGATGTAAAACGTATGTAGATACATTAAATGTGCTGTAAATATGGTACATTGGTGTATTGTAAATAAATGTCAATAAGATGTGCGTATTTTATTTATTTTTTTTGTTTTCTTTGTCAGCAGGACTCTGAAAGCCAAAGTAAAGTGGTGGGCCCGGAGCCTCAGTACCTGGACGAATTCTCCAGCTTGCTCGTGCCCGACGACACCCGAGTCATGGTGGACCTGCTTAAGCTAGCCGTGTCTTGTCGCTCTGGGGAGAAAGGCAAGGAGGTGCTCTCGGCCGTGTTGTCCGGCATGGGAACGGCGTACCCGCAGGTAAGGAATTCCAATGAATTGTTTTCATTCGTCGTGGAGCGAATTCGACAGATAAGTCAAGGTACCGCCGTACGTGTGATGATATGTGTCTTTTGCGAGCAGGTGGCCGACATGCTGCTGGAGCTGTGCGTCACCGAGCTGGAGGACGTGGCCACTGACTCGCAGAGCGGACGCTTGTCCTCGCAGCCCGTCGTCGTGGAGAGCAGCCACCCCTACACCGACGACACCTCCACCAGCGGCACCGTCAAGATCCCCGGTAAAAAGAAATCGATAAACCTTTGAGATCGCGACCAGCTGGATCGAGCGTTGAACTTGTTTTGTGCGCAAGGCGCCGAAGGTCTGCGGATAGAGTTTGACCGGCAGTGTTCGACTGAAAGACGCCACGACCCGCTGACGGTAATGGATGGAGCCAACAGGATTGTGTCAGTCAGATCAGGTCAGAAGACAACATTCTTTAAACATGGCTTATTCATCAAAAAATATGAACAAATGATGTCATAAAATAATTCATTTATTTTTACACATTGTCAGCCGTCTGCTTGAAATCCAACCTTTACCTTCCTAAACCGTGTGGGTTTGTGTATTTTAGGTCGCGAGTGGTCAGATTGGTCCAGCGAATTAAGGATCCCAGGCGACGAGCTCAAGTGGAAATTCACCAGCGACGGCTCGGTCAACGGCTGGGGCTGGCGCTTCACCGTGTACCCGATCATGCCTGCTGCAGGTAGGCCACATATCGCAACACACACACACCAGAGGATGAGTAAAACGGCTGCACACTCTCTACTCAAGCATAAGTACAGATACCTGGACTGATTCCCAATAAAAAAAAAAAATGTAGACAATCACAACAATGAAATACTACACGCTCACACACTGAATGTGGATCCCCTTGTCTGCAGGTCCCAAAGACTTGCTCTCAGACCGCTGCATCTTATCCTGCCCCTCCATGGACCTGGTGACATGTCTACTAGACTTCAGGCTCAACTTTGCCTCCAACAGGAGCATCGTGCCTCGTCTCGCCGCCTCCTTGGCAGCTTGTGCTCAGCTCAGCGCTTTGGGTATGAACTCAATCACCATTGTGTATATTGTGTGGTGCTACCTTGGCTTACCGATGCAGTACAGTACAGACAGAAAAAAAAACGGTATATTTTGGGGCTGGGAATGGATTCATGGAATTTAAATTCCTCTCAATGGGAGAAATTGATTAGGGTCCAATTGAATTGTTTTCGAGCTCGGCACACAATGAATTATATTTCATCCAATTGTGAAACTCCAAAAAGTTGTCCGGCAGTTGGTGGTGTTGGTGGTCTACACCCCGCACGTTTCTAACTTTTGTTGTGTTGTATTTGCACAGCTGCCGGACACAGAATGTGGGCCCTGCAAAGACTGCGAAAGCTTCTGACCACAGAGTTTGGGCAATCCATCAACATAAACAGGCTGCTGGGTGACACGGACGGCGAGGCTCGCGTTGTGGTGAGCCAGCGCGCAGATGGGATGAGCCCTGATCCAAATTCTGTGTTACTTCCATTTGTCTTGAGGAGTTTTACTTCATTCGGGCCTTGTTTATTTTTCAGAGCTTTACAGGCAGCGCGCTGGCCGCCCTGGTCAAGGGCCTTCCCGAGGCTCTGCAGAGGCAGTACGAGTACGAGGACCCCATCGTCCGGGGTGGGAAACAGCTCCTCCACAGCCCCTTCTTCAAGGTCTGAGCATGTGCCGCAGATGTGTATTTTTATTATTTCACTTTGATGTTACCCTTGCGTTGTCCGCCGTCCTTGTGTGTCCTGAAAGGTGCCTTTCAATAAAATGCATTCTGACTATTCCTCATCAGGTGTTGGTGGCTCTCGCCTGTGACCTGGAGCTGGACACGTTGCCGTGTTGTGCTGAGACACACAAATGGGCCTGGTTCCGCCGCTACTGTACAGCCTCCAGGGTGGCTGTGGCGCTGGATAAAAGGACCTCCCTGCCCAGACCCTTTCTGGACGAGGTGAGTTTCCCGTCTGTTATTCTTTTGTCTTCCAATTGCAAAAAAAATGTAAAATTTTGCAACCATAAACACAAAATCAGCATAATCCACAACAACAAAATTCAGTCTCAATTATATTAATGAAAATGTTTTCGTTACATGAATAACGTTCGTTTAAAAAAAAAAAAACAAAAAAAAAAACAAAAAAACACATTCCCTCTCAGGTGACTAAGAAGATCCGTGAGCTCATGGCCGACCACGAGAGCGTCAACGTGCTCCACGAGAGCCACGAGCTGTTCAAGCGCGAGCACGACGAGCAGCTGGTGCAGTGGATGAACCGGCGGCCCGACGACTGGACGCTCTCGGCGGGCGGCAGCGGGACCATCTACGGCTGGGGGCACAACCACCGCGGGCAGCTCGGTGGCATCGAGGGGGCCAAGGTTAAAGTGCCCACGCCGACCGAAGCCCTCGCCACGCTGCGGCCCGTGCAGCTCATTGGAGGGGAGCAGACGCTCTTTGCCGTCACTGCCGATGGAAAGGTGGGTTTGACTACATCTTGATGGAGAAAAAAAACACATTTATGTATTATGGCACAGGTGTCAAACTCAAGGCCCGGGGGCCAGATCTGGCCCGCCACATCATTTTATGTGGCCCGCGAAGGCAAATCAAACATGTCAACTTCGATGATGCTTGCTAAAATCTCGACCAAAATTTCAAAGTCTCATATGTGATAAATAAGAGACATATCGTTAGCATTTTTTTGTCACCAAACCCCTCAGTACAGTAACTTAAACAATAGTTGAATAACTTTATAACGTTATTCTTGACTTTTTTTATTTGGTTTCAGTCATCACGGCCCTCCAAGGGAAACGGTAACTAAAATGTGGCCCATGACAAAAATGAGTTTGACACCCCTGTACTATGAGCAACTTTGGACAAGATGGAAGACATTGGGAACCTTCTAAAGTTGGTCTAACATTTCATTTTAAATGGAATCTAGTCAAGATGCACAACACAAGGTCCCATTGAATCATCCTGATGTTTTCATGCATGCAATTGCCCCATACGCCTGATGTTGTAAATCCGGACTTATTGCAGCTGTATGCCACCGGGTATGGCGCCGGAGGCCGACTGGGTATCGGCGGTACCGAGTCGGTGTCCACACCGACTCTGCTGGAGTCCATCCAGCATGTCTTCATCAGAAAAGTGGCGGTCAACTCAGGAGGAAAGCACTGCCTGGCACTCTCCTCGGAGGGAGAGGTCTATTCGTGGGGAGAGGCGGAGGACGGAAAGCTAGGCCACGGCAATAGAAGGTGGGGGAAAATGCCAGGTAGAAACCTGAACCTGAATTTTACAAGATTAGCTAATGCAGGATAAACCGCACTGTCAGTAATGATGAGCGGGGCCAGCAACAGGGATGATTGGTCTACCTTTTTTTCCCCCTCCTTTAGCCCCTGTGATCGTCCTCGTGTAATTGAGTCCCTGAGAGGAGTGGAAGTGGTGGATATCGCCGCGGGAGGGGCGCACAGCGCTTGCATCACGGCCAGCGGAGAGCTTTTCACTTGGGGGAAGGGCCGCTACGGCCGCCTCGGCCACGGCGACAGCGAGGACCAGCTGAAGCCCAAGCTGGTACCATTTGATGTTAATCACGCTATGTCATTGTTCCCACCAAAGTTTGGACCATTTTGCTCCACATCTGAATAGGGATGCATGTGTTTCAAACATTTTGGGTCGTTCAAGTGCCAAGTTGGGCAGTGACTTATTAGATTCTGCACAGCTTACTGTAAGGTTCTACGCAGGTGGACGCCCTGCAGGGCCACAGGGTGATCGACGTGGCCTGCGGAAGTGGCGACGCCCAGACCCTGTGCCTGACCGATGACGACATGGTGTGGTCCTGGGGCGACGGCGACTATGGAAAACTTGGCCGAGGAGGCAGCGACGGCTGCAAAATACCCATGAAAGTACGTCAACGTCTACCACGTTACTTTATTTTACTATCGTTCAGAATGGTGATTCTAAGAGCTAAGGGTTAATTTTTTTCCCCGGTGGTATTTAATGTCGAAAAATTGACAACCACTCATCATTAAAATCTATCATCTCATTTTTTTTTTCCCTTTAAGATTGATTCATTGACCGGCGTGGGTGTGGTCAAAGTGGAGTGCGGCTCACAGTTCTCGGTGGCGCTCACAAAGTCGGGAGCCGTCTACACGTGGTACGTCCCCACATCGCGGCCCCTGTCGTCGTAGTTGCCAATGACCCAACTCATATATGTGTTTGGGTGTGTCTTTAAGGGGCAAAGGAGACTACCATCGACTGGGACACGGGTCCGATGACCACGTAAGGCGGCCGCGGCAGGTTCAAGGCCTCCAGGGGAAGAAGGTCATTGCCATTGCGACCGGATCACTGCACTGTGTGTGCTGCACGGAGGATGGTAGGTGGAGCCATGCCCTGGAAAAATGAATGCGACTTTGTCCAGCATCTTTCTGTTGCCTACACACGTTTGAGCTGTGAAAATATATCTGCTTGAAGCCTCAATTGGCTAGGATATATCCCATTAGGTTATTGCGGGGTTTTTCCACACTATGACGACGAGGCACTCTAAAGCAACTGCATCAGCACAAAGCCAAGTCCTTACTTTGGGTCTCACATCTGAAAATTAATACTATAATCAAAGTTTGTCACAAGCGAGTCAGACAGGCATGTTTGGCCTTATTTGGCCTTGGAGGAGGTCTCTCGCTGACTGCATCGATGTGCTGTTGGGCTCAGGAGAGGTGTTCACATGGGGCGACAACGACGAGGGCCAATTGGGCGACGGCACCACCAACGCCATCCAGAGGCCACGACTGGTGGCGGCGCTGCAGGGCAAGAAGATCAACCGGGTCGCCTGCGGCTCCGCCCACACGCTCGCCTGGTCCACGAGCAAGCCCACAAACGCCGGCAAGCTTCCCGCACAGGTACGACGACTCGGAGGTCGAGGTCAGTGATTCACAAACGTATGTGGGCTCCCTCTAGCGGTATGACAGAGCCCTCCCTCACCCCAAAATCTTCAAAATGTACTTTAAGAGAAAATTATACTTTGAGGCAGTACTCTTTTTAGCTTGTGAACCACTGCTCAAAAACGGCATCACAGGCTGACCCTGACCGGTGTTTGAATCCAAGGTCCCGATGGAGTACAACCACCTGCAGGAGATCTCCATCATGGCGCTGAGGAACCGGCTGCTCCTGCTGCATCACATCTCCGAGCTCTTTTGCCCCTGCATTCCCATGTTTGACCTGGAGGGGCGCTTGGGCCAAACGGGCCAGGGACCCTCACTGGGCTTTGACACCCTCCGCGGCATCCTCATCTCGCAGGGCAAGGTGGGTGTGATGGGTGCGTGTGGTGTTACACGGTGTTGTTTTGAACGTGGCTTTCTTTGAACAGGAAGCGGCCTTCAGGAAGGTAGTCCAGGCCACCATGGTGCGGGACAGACAGCATGGACCTGTGGTAGAGCTCAACAGAATACAGGTAGCAACACACACACATATATAGAACTTCATTCTCGAAAACAAAAAATACCCAGCTAAAAACAAGACAATGAATGTACTCAAGCAGCATCTGCTGTCCTCCACAGCCCACGCCCAAATACTCACACGATAAACAAGAGTTGGCTGTATGTGTCATTTTATTAATTTTGTTTCAACACCATATTATAACTTTTGATTTTTTTCCCCCCAGACTTTTAGATCTGAGCCTCTCTTATCAGTAAACTTAAAATATAAAATCTACTTTATGCTTTAGTTGACTGCCCCACACACACACACACACACACACACACACACACACACACACACACACACACACACACACACACACACACACACACACGTGTGCAACTCACACTGTGAGGCTGGACAGGCTCCTGATGATTACATGTGATGTCTTTTACAAAGGGATTTTTCTATCGGTGTGTGTGCGTGATCTGCTCACCAGACTTATCCGTAGGGCTATCTGCTCAGAGAGTTGCACAAAGCGCCTCGGTTTGGACCACACACACACACACACACACACACACAGTCAACTGTGTATGGTCAGGTCTTTTAATGTGGTTGTCAAACACTACTTAACAAAAGTTCGGGATATTTGGCTTTGGGGTGAAATTCCCAGATGAACATAAGGCCCGCCACAAAAGCAACCATCAGTTTGCGGCCGTGTGGGTTTTAGGTTCATTTGGAAATTTAACTTGAAAGATGAAAGAATCACTTTGTGTGTGCGCGCCACTGTTGCGCACCAAAGCACCGACATTGTGTTCTTTGTTTGCAGGTGAAGCGTTCTCGAAGCAAAGGAGGCCTGGCGGGTCCTGACGGAACCAAATCGGTGTTTGGTCAGATGTGTGCCAAAATGAGCTCGTTTAGCTCCGACTCTCTGCTGCTCCCCCATCGAGTGTGGAAAGTCAAATTTGTGGGTGGGTGTCAGAAAGATGAAACCGGTGAAGGATTTTTTTTTTTTTTTCCGTTAAACTTAATGTTTGGTTTTCTTTGCACAGTAACATACATGGCCTGGCCCCTTTTTGAACATATCTCATAAGGACCGTCAGTCGATTAAAAATTTTAATTGTTAACTCGCCATTAATTACGTATTTTATTATATTTATAAATCTACATTAACTTTTTTTATGTGTGTGTGGTTTGTGACTTTGCATTTTGTGTCATTTTGGGCCAGTCCTGTCATGTTGCTACATTTAGAGAGACAAAAAGAAACGAGACAAAAATAAATAAGCTCACAGAAGAACTTGATCACACCGTATTCATTATTTTGCGTGACTTGAGCATCATTTTTGTTTGTTCGATCTTCTTTCAGGGGAGTCCGTGGATGACTGCGGCGGCGGCTACAGCGAGTCCATCGCTGAGATGTGCGAGGAGCTGCAGAACGCCCTGACGCCGCTGCTCATCGTCACTCCAAATGGACGCGACGAGTCCGGGGCCAACCGAGACTGCTTCCTGCTCAACCCCGCCGCCAAGTCGCAGCTACACATGAGCATGTTTCGCTTCCTTGGTAAACGCTTACGCCTTCCCTGTTCCTGTGACTTTTTCGAGAAAATCAAATCTTATCTGGGAAAGTATGACTCGATTGCTGCATTTTCCTCTCTGGGTTTGTTTGTTTATTTTTTTATTTTAGCTCGCTAAAATAAGCTACTAGTTAGCTAGTAGCTAGCCATTAGATAGCTAGTGAAGTTGGACTTTCTGTCAAATGACTCTCTTGAAAATGTGACTATCCTTGTAAGGTTCAGTTTTTTTCCACGGAAATTTGACTTTTCCTTGCTATGAGTCATGCTTCTCAAAAGCATCATTTTGTTCTTGTATGATCATCACTTTTTCACTCAGAAATTTGGCCTTTTCCTCAAATAAAAATGACGCATTTTTTCCCCCCTTCACTGAAATGTAACATTTCTATAAAATGATTACTGTTTTCTGAAATCCGGTTTTCTCGAAAAAAAATTCCCATCAATAGATTATAACTTTTTTTCCTCTGAAATGTGACTAAGATTTTATTTTTCGTAAATACATGACTTCTTTCAATTATAGATTCATATAGATGACTGGATTCCCGCAAATGTAACATTTTCAGCTGGCTCACCTTCCTTTTTTTTTCCTCAAATACTACTTTATTTTTGTAAGAATCCAACTTTTTTCCTCAAATTATTTTTCTGGATATTGTGTTATTTTTATATTGATGATGATTATTATTTTTGTCCTCAAATGTTTATCGGTCTCATTCCCCCCTCGCGCATCCGCAGGGGTTCTGCTGGGTATCGCCATCCGCTCCGGAAGTCCACTGAGTCTCAATCTGGCCGAGCCAGTGTGGAAACAGCTGGCCGGGATGAACCTGACCATTGCGGACCTCAGTGAGGTGAGACCACTTCTGGGCCTGCTGCTGTTCTACATTTCGTTTTGCACTTTTATGTGTAATGCACCCCTTTCTAGTAAGCACTCACCACAACAAGAAAAAAAAATCTAATATTTGCACATCAAGTCACAGGGCAACCTTTTGGGTTGGTCTAAATCAGGGGTGTCAAACTCATTTCACATGGTGGGCCACATACGGCCTCGGTAGATGTCAAGTGGGCCGGACCATTAAAATGATACAATGCTTTGCTATAAATAACCAAAACAATATGTCTTTCCTTTGTTTTGGTATAAAGAAGCACAAGAACATTAGGAAAATGTTGAAATTTAATGAACATATCTTTTACAAAAAATTTCATGAAGCACCTTACATTTCCTTCGACAAATGTGCAATTTACTTTTATCATTCACATATATGCATTGCAACTGATCCCACTGATTGTACAAACTTTAACAAGTAATTGCTCTTGAAAAATATAGTAATGCACTTTAAGATTAAACAAGATTCAAAAAGAAAGCAAGTTTTAAAGCATTTACACGTGCATATAAAATCTAAATGTAATCCCTGCCTACACCTTACAAACTAAGGAGAGTGCTATTAAATGTGTAAATGTGAGAGTGCTATTGATAGCGTCTGCTGTCATGGGTCTGTCTCAGTGACAGACTGAGGCTGCTGTTGTCTTCTTCACTGATCAAAACAGTGTCCCCTTGCGGATACTCAATGAATTGCACCTGATTAAAAATATTAATTCTGTGTCTTTAATGCATTTTTTTCACTTTTACATTATCCTGCGGGCCTGATTGAACCTACTTGCGGGCCGGTTCCGGCCCGCGGGCCGTACGTTTGACACCACTGCTTTACATAATCATCTCGCGGGCCGGATTAAACTCCTTTGCGGGCCGGATCCGGCCCGCGGGCCGTATGTTTGACACCCCTGGTCTAAATAGACTCTGGTCTCTCAGCCAATCAGTGGAGACGACTCAAAAAAAACAGCTGTAAAATGTTGAATCAATCTATACTGCATTAAATGAGGCCACGGGAAATGGCTCCCACCATTCGCAGCTCTGATGTAATTAGATCCCTCATTGTGAGCTTTTTTTTCTACTGTAAAGAGAGCACATTCCTCTACATTCCTGCTCTCGTTAAAACCTCGGTAATCCCCGTCGGGAATGAGAACGTACTAGTCGGTCTCGGGCCGACGTCGCGGTAGTAATGCACTAGTGGCCTCACGCTGCAATCATGAGCTTCCTTCTTTTTTCTTCCTCTTCTTCTTGGACGCACACGTGCACACACACACACTCGTTCACATGCTCTGCCCTCGAGATATCACAAAGTTTAAGTCGCGCACGGTGATTCTCGTGGGAGATTGAGTGCTTCACACTGAAAAAGGAAAAAAAAAAATATTTGAAAACAAATTCGCTGAGCAATTTCACACACGTTCCCTGACTGTTTACCGTCCCGTCTCCAGGTGGACAAGGACTTCATTCCCGGCCTGATGTACATCCGTGACAATGAGGCCACGTCCGAGGAGTTTGAGGCCATGACTCTGCCTTTCACCGTCCCAAACGCCAGTGGCCAGGACATCCAGCTCAGCTCCAAGTACTCGCACATCACGCTGGACAACCGCGCGGAATACGTGCGACTCGCCATCAATTACAGGCCAGTGCGAAGAACACAGAATGCGCATTACCGCCTCCTACAGGAATGGAGTGTCATTAAACAAAGCATCCACTGTGTTAATATTCATTTTTCCTGCTGCTTGCTCTTATTGTCGTTGTTTTTGTTTAGGTTGCACGAGTTTGACGAGCAGGTGTCAGCCGTTCGGGAGGGCATGGCCCGTGTCGTTCCTGTTCCTGTGCTGTCACTTTTCACCGGATATGAACTGGAAACTATGGTGACCGATGCTTTTTATTTTGTATTTTTTTTTTAAGGGTCATTTGGGGGCCTGTTTGGCAAGGCAATCAAGTTTAAGTCGCAATATGACAAGAAATCTATGAAACTTCAGCCTCTGAAGCCAGTTTCACTTAACATGAATTATGGTAGACATGACTAGCATGAGTTGGCCCACAAAAGAGCCTCGGGGAGCCATGCGTAGAAACTCAGTTTGGCATTTTGGGGTAATTTTGGCTAATTCCTGTGGTCTTAAGAGACATTGTCATCCATGTTTTGATTCATCTTATTACTACCAAATTTTCTAAACACAGGAGCAATGCTGAGTTTACACAAAAACAATTTGGCGGGGTTGTTCTATGCGAGTAGCCTGGTGGTGAAATTTGATTGACCATAAAACAAGAAACAACTGCAGTTTTGACAACCATTCAAAGACAGTTTTGTTGAGCAACATGAAACATGAAAGATCTGTTATGAGTAAACCCACAAAAAAGTCTCAAGAAGCCATACCTGGAAAGACACAGGGAGTCAGCCATTTTTGTTTGATGCAGTCACTTTGGCCTGTAGAATTTGACAAAAACAATCAGCCAACAAAAGGTTTTTACTTGGCAACAAGAAATTTGGTCAGCCTGTTTACCATGAGGAGCGATGCTCGGAAGCACACCCAGTCTGCCATTTTGCTGTGAAGCAGCAGCCATTTTAGCTTATTTTGGCCATTGCTAGTAGTCCTTCAAAGGTGAACAATGCTTTATCCTGCGCTATAAATCTAATTAAATGCATTTTCTGCGTGCAGGTGTGCGGGAGCCCCGACATCCCGCTGCATCTGCTGAAATCTGTGGCCACCTACAAGGGTGTGGAGCCCACGGCCCCCCTGGTGCAGTGGTTCTGGGAAGTGATGGAGTCCTTCTCCAACACGGAGCGCTCCCTCTTCCTACGCTTCGTCTGGGGGCGCACGCGGCTGCCGCGCACCATCGCAGACTTCCGTGGACGTGACTTTGTCGTACAGGTAGGAAAACGTGTGGAAAATTTTGGGTACAACTTGACCATACTAAAAAAAATAATAAGAAAATAAAACATCCCAACCTTTATCACACACTTAAAATTCGAAAAACACTTTTGAAACATGCCATTAAAAAAAAAAAGGAGTTTTCTGCTGTGTTATCGACAATTTTTTTCAACGTGTGTGTTGAAACGAAACGTCAACTGTGAATGCCAATAAACCGCCTCTTTTTAGAACCTTATCTGAATTTCTTTGCTAAGTCAAAGCAAAAAAAAAAAAAAAAAAATCAGCCAAGCAACGGTATGGATCCAGAAATAATTGTAAGTCAGCAGGGTCACTTGTAGCTTGAGGTACTGCAGTACTTTTTTTGTTTTTTGTTTTTAAATTTCAGGTGCTAGACAAGTACAACCCTCCCGACCATTTCCTCCCCGAGTCGTACACGTGCTTCTTCCTGCTCAAGCTGCCACGCTACTCATGCAAGCAGGTACTGCAGGAGAAGCTCAAATACGCCATCCACTTCTGCAAGTCCATCGACACGGACGACTATGCCCGAATTGCCCTGTCGGGCGAGCCGGCCGCCGATGACAGCAGCGACGACTCGGACAACGAGGACGCCGAGTCCTTCGCCTCGGACTCCACCCAGGACTACCTCACCGGGCACTGACCTCCTGCAGGGTTACTGGGAAGGCGGGTTCAGGTGGAATTTTATCTTTTTTTTTTCTTTTTTTTTTTATGCTCACATTCCTGCAGGTTAGACGCACTCGTCTGTGTGTGAATATGAGTGTGTGTGTGATTGTGTGTGTGCGCATGTGTGTGTGCAACCAGCTGTGAAGCATTAAGAGCTTATAAGAAGAGCCATCCCATGATTGCTACGTTTTATTTATATTGTAAAGACGACTTTAGTCTCTGTAAATAGAAGTGGATACAGTAAACAGTAGCCCGCCCCCCCCCCTTTTTTTTTTTGTCTTTGGAGATGAATAAACGTTTTAAAGATGTAGTTCCTGCTCAGACGTCGGTCTAATGAAGTGTCTGTTGTCACAGTGTCTCCCCGTTGAATGTGTGTACATAAATAAATATACAGAATAAAATATGTCTGTGCCATGTATTCAACGGAAAGTTGTCATTCCTGTGTACTTGCCTTTGAAATACTTCTGAGTATTTCAGAACACAAGGGAAGGCTCGGCTTAAAAATCAATAGCATTCTTTGTGGACTTAGTGGCCTTTTTTTTTTCCCCCAGGAAGAATGAGCAAAAGTACATTACGCTGCTGAGAGTCAGGTGCTCTCATACTGTCGAGGCTCCAGGCGAGATGTTGAAGGCCAAGTCCCAATCCACTCAAATGTAGTAAGTTACGTAAAGTGGACTCGGTGCCAATTTCGGAAACCTCAATGAAGTGACTGTACGGCATGCCAGTTTTTGTAAACATCAAAGCATTCCCCCCCACTCCGTACGTCAAAAAAACATTCTTAGCTTTCACCCAAGTAGTAAAAGTCAAACCTGGATCTGCCATTTGCAACAGCCGAACTTTATTTGGGATTAAACATTCACTTGCAGTGGATTGGAACCTCTGGTCACAGTAAAAAAAAGTTTTGATTGGACTCATCTTGGAATCATTTTGTATATATCACCCAATGGTTAATATTACAAAGTCATTATCTGTCCAGGTCAAAGTGAACCTGGAAGAAAACTCCAATTGTGGAAGGAGCCGAACCTTCTGCACCATTTCTCTCTCCTGGTTGATCCTTCATCATATGTGGGTCATCTCTCTCAGTGGCTGCGAGGATGTGGCGTTTTCACAGGCAGCTTGAAGACAGCACATGATACTCCTGTGCAATTTTTTTTTCCCCAAAAAAGCTATTTGGTCTTTTGAGCTCAAACTCAGGGCCCCAAGGCCTTTTTTTTGGTGGTTGTGTAGAGCAAATCAAGTGCAGTTCTCATGCATGATTTGTTATTCTGATTTGTGCAGAAAATGTTCAGTTTCCACCAAATGCATCAGTATGAATTGAACAGTATTTTTATTTCGTCAATATTTTCCATGACTTATTTCAAACCCATTTTGTTGGTAAACAAAACAAACAAAAAATGTAAAAGGCCACTATGTCAAATATCCATTCAAAGGACCGACTTATGATCCAAAGCATACCGCATCATATCTCCTACATTGACCTTTGAAAAGGAGCAGGTCATCATCCAAAGCATACCACATCTTAGGTCCAGTATCTGTCTGTGAAAGGGAACAGGTCATGATCCAAAGCATACCACATCATACATCCAATATATAGTTAAATGATCAACCCAAATACCATCTCATGACCCAAAGCATACCACATCACATCACCAACACACATCTTAGAAAAGTAGCAGGCTCAAGTGGGTGAAAACCGCACCCTAAATATCTCCCCAACTTTTTCAGTTCTGCTCAAACCAGGAGGCAAAAAGTTCCAAAGTAGAAAATAAACAGCAAGAGTCAAGTAAGAGTGGTGCAAAAATGCACTCGTGGAGGAGTGTTACGAGGATTACGAGTCAAAGGGGCCGTGGGGGTGGGGGGGAATGGGGAAAGTCTTGTTGTTAAGCCGCTATTAGAAGATTGGGCCTCCTCCTCCTCCTCCTCCTTTTCCTCGTCTTTCTCCTGCTGACCGAGCTCTCGTACACCAGGGCACCGAGGACTATCTCCTTCGCTGGGAGAGGAGACGCCAACACCTCCAGCCTACCTCCACCCCACCTTTCCCTTCCGTCTCCATCTACTCCATCTTTCTTCTTCAAGAACGACGCTGCAGGAGGTCGCTAGGCGGAACCGCCATCCTTGCCATCATCTTGAACTTTTTTTTTTTTTTTTTTTTGCCAACGCAGGTACGCACTCATCTCCTCTCCTGCGGGTCAAATGTTGTTGGAAGTTCAAAGTGGGTCATATTGGCCCGTTTTAAAAGCTTCAAGCTCAAGAAAAGATGTTTGCTTCTTGTTTTATTAGATGAGTGATTTACAGTACGGTGCAAAAAAGTCTGAGACTGCCATTCCATTTGTTGGCTTAGCAATGGCATAATAAGCATGGAAAAAAATAAGTAAGGGGCCTTTTAAGACTCCCATTTGAGAAAAAAAAAGTTGAGATTTTTTCATTTAATTTCATTGTAAAATAACTGCAGCAAAACAGTACAAATCTGTGAACTTCATGACAGGGTGGACATTTTGGGGCAAAGGTTCATGGTGGACTTTCACTTAGCTACATAATTAAATGAAGTTGATTAGTGGGCTGTTTAACAAATCCATTTATAATAATTTGGGAAATGATATTTCACGATGACAGGATGCACATGTTAAGCTTGATGACACCCAACGACAACCGTGATGAAAATTACGACGCATATGTGCAAATATTTTTTCAGTGACAAGCACCTGTTTCAGCCAAAGACAAAAAATTTGTTGTGATGTCACTTGGAAACATCAGAAGGTTTCTTGAAGCTGCAGTGACCTTGTCGTGACACGGTGGACAATCCTCGAGCTTTGCATTTGGATTTTTTTTTCCATCTGTTTGTTAGTTAGAAGGCTACATCATGGCCAATGGAGGGAAGGGAATAGATGGGAGATGCCAAGATGATTCTGGAGGTATATTTACTCACATAGTATCATAATAAGTAGAGCTGCAAGCAAGTATAAAGGGCCATCGCAACATTGCTGTCAAATTTGCAAGGTTTAAATCTTGTGTGATTCAAATAAGCCAAGAGTGTAAAATTGTTAAAAAAGCAGTTTGTCTTGCTTGTACAGCCGGCGGGCAGGAGGCGGCCACAAAAGGGCTCATTCATGGCCGGGATGAGGCCCATCACATGAATTGGACAAGGCTTTTAGGCAGTTAGCAAAAAACGTCAGAAGTCAAACTGCCGGCTATTCTCACACCACAAGCGCTCGAGTCGAGTGAATCCTCGATGCGTAACGACTTGGCTTTGGGGCTTTCCGCGGGGTGGACGCTTGACATCTTTCAATTGTCGAATAATTAAGACCAAAAAGGCCTACCAAAAGCGCTGGACCACACTGACCCCCAAAATTATAATTGTTCCATGAAACTATGTAAATTTATGCCCAAGACTCTATTCTTCTCATCTTTCCACATACTGCTCTGCTCCCAGTATGTGTCTTCTATAATTTTTTTGTGCAATCAGATTCCAGGCTCAATGTGTTGCCACGTCAATCTAATCTATATCTTAAAAACCATTTATATTAACCGATCAGGTTTCAAGTGAATCCTCACAGGGCCAGAACGCTGTGCCTTGATGACATTAGCATTTTTGAGTCTTCTGAGTTACTACTAGCAAAATGCGTTCGTAGCGATCTGCACACATTATTACGTTTAATAATCACTTAAAACTTGTGAGTATGATACTTTTTTTTTATTGTTCACATTTTGTATACAATCGCTAAGTAAAAAGTCCCTTCAACCTTTCGAGAAAACACGTCACGCAACTAGCATAGCATTAGCATTTTGTACGGCTGTCTAGCTTCATCCAGAGCCTGCGTTTATCAGGTTTCATGTAGGATTTATTAATTAGGATTTTGGAGAAAAAAAACACATCGATATAAAACCCACAAAAACAGGAAAGGTATGTGAACTTCACAGTTTAGCTAACCGATAGCTAAGCTTCTCAGAGGTTACGCGTTTATTTGAGAACACCCCCGATTGCTCCTGATGCTGCGTTAAGTGACATTTATAACAATAAAATGATTAATAACATTAAGACTAATTTGGTATCATTTTAAAAAAAACGATGTGAATGTCACATATTGGCTAACAACTGCAAGTTCAAACATTAAATACATGTTGTTACCGTGGCAGGATATATTATTTGATTTATGTCTTGTGTAATAAATAGATTTGGATTGTTGTTATTATTATTATTATTATTATTATGTTTGGTATAATAACTTGGAACTTGCTTGTGACTTGAAGGTTATTTCTTGAGACAAACTCGTTTCATATGTGATTTAGTCCAAAGACGATGTTTTGGACCGTGCTGTAATTGTCCGGTCTTTGTTTAGTCCTGTAATGCCCGAACCATTATATAATTGACGATAAATTATAATAAAAAAAAAACTGGAGCTTTTACTTGTCTTTCTTAAGAAAAACAAAACAACAAATAATTTTTGTATAATTCTTTTGATGCCAGTGGATTATCTTAGCCTAACGTGAATAAGTGCATGTTCATGAGCAAATTGAATGTGTTTCTGGTGCTCATGTTCCAGAACAGCGAGGGAAAAAAAAGTGAATTTCTAGGAAGGGGCCTGATAATGGATTTCTTCATCTACTACTGAGGCAATTCCAAGTCACCCAGGGAATCGCCACGAGCTGAAGGGGGCCCTTATAGCGCCTATATCATTGACAAAACATTGGCACTGCTTTAGTCACACCGCATCTTACCTGGGGCCCCACAGGGGATCTAGAGACGCCCCTGGACTGGCAATGAAAGCATGCCTTCAGCTTGCCCTTTGCTGGAGCAGTCAGCTGCAGCACCCCCAGTATGTCGGTCTCATGGTCTCGTTCTTTGGAGGCGTATGATCACACGGCACGTGAGCTCGAGTCGACTTCCATGTGAGCAATAATCCCCCCCGGATTCCTGAGCACATGTCTGATGGAGCCGACCCGGTCCACTGACCCCCTGCCGCCGTGGCCCCGCTCAGCTGATGTGTTGGATTTACTGTTGCCCCTTGTATTTGCGGGTCATGTGATGTCTGAAATTGACGGCTATCCCACCATTCCCACCACTCAAGTACCATTGCTCCATTAGAATTTTGTGGTCAGTCGTCCAACAACAATGACAAAAACACATTTTCACATTCATTTCATGTTTTTTTTTAAGTGATTTGATCCACTTCATACCAAAATGGTGGACTTCCTGTGGATTTTTTGCCATGGGTTCTAGAGGCTTTTTTGTGGGTCTACTCTTGATGGATAGGCCTACCAAAATGTACATTTTTTTCGACAAACTGCGTTCTGGGGGCTGAAGTTTTAAAACAGTGGTGTTGTTAGTTGACGATCAGCAGGTTGCAACAGATAAACTGGAAGAGTCAATGAAAGGTATAGAAGTGTTTGGAACAAGCAAAAATTCACCAGTAATGGATGCCTGCTGAAAACGGTTTGTCTATTAATGCCACAAGATGGCGATAAAGCACTTTTTCTTCTATTAAACAAGACTATGGCCTAAAAATGTATCTCTGCCAATCAGTTCAATATAGCTGATTGCCACCAAAATGGCACCAAAACATTTTCATATAAATTGATAACAAGACCCCCCAAAAATCTTCTATTTTGTGAATGGACTTTCACAGTAGTCGTAGCCTGACCAATGATGGAATGCATCTTCTCAGTTGTTCCTCAACTGTATGTGTTCTTGCAGTGTCAACATGTACCTGGAGAACACAAGCAACCTGGACCTGGAAATGTCCCAGGCCTCTGCGCCGGTGCACCAGGCCGCTGGGAATTTCGGCGAGCTGCGTCTGCTGCAGGGCATCTCGGAGCGGCTGGAGACACAGAAACTGCAGCAACAGTCGGCTGGTCTGCCAACGGGACAGTGCGTGATCCACGCAGAGGCATTCCTGCCCGTTCGACAAGAAGACGGGTGAGGAACTGACGGGTGAAAAGACTTCCGGGTTTTGTGAGACTTTTGGGCGACTTCAGGCATGACGATGGTTAAAAATGGAGATGTTTTGCGCAGCTTTGCAGATGTGTTCTCTTGGAAATTTGTTGGAACCAAAATGAAAGCAAAACTCTCATCCTGAAAATCCAAAGACAAATCAAAACACTGAAAAATTATGTCTTAAGAGATACACTACAATGTCTCATAAAACGTAATTTTTGCGCAACTTGAAAGGCAAATCTTGATTTTTGGTCAAAATTCTGGTGTGTCACCAAAAAGCCAAAGAAAGGTGCAATGCTAATCCTTTGATGCTCACTAAACTGAGCTTTTGCGTGTTGTCATGCATAACGATTGAAATGCTGAAGTTTTTGCGCTTTATCTGCATTTGTTCCCCAAAATTTTGTCCAATTCCAATGTGTCATCAAAACCCCGAAGACGAATCTATTGATGCTTGCTGAACGGCGGCGCACCTGTAAAATACGCTTAAGTCTTGCTTGCCAATCATCTAAGCACAAGATTTTTCACGACTTCCATGGCATATTTTTTTGCTGTTGTAAAATTTTGACACTTAACAAAAAGCAGAGAAAAAAAGCCCAAAAACACCCAAATTGATTTTATAATGTTAGGTATGCTAAAGTCAAACTGGTTCAAATTCCAATGTTGTGAGTGAGGCGTATTTTCTTGAAATTTCGGTGCAATTCTGAAGTGCTGCCAAAACGCCATCTTGATCCAAAATGACTCGTCCGATGTGAATTTGAAGGATTGTACCTGTAAAGTGAGTGGATTTGTGTGTTTACGTGTGTGTTTGTGTGTGTGGGTGGGGGGGGTGTCCGGGGACCCAGCTGTGATTCCCTGCAGGTCTCTGAATGCAGCAGCAGTGTGATAAAAAAAAAGAAAAAAAAAAGGCCGCCTTAATGATGGGGTCATGTTTCTCGGGGCAAGAGCGCATCTGGCAGCCTGCTCGCACAGATGTGACACCTGCTCAGTCGCGGTCAGAGTTCACGAAAAAGCCTTTTTGCTCCCTGAGAAAATGGAACGTTGTTTAGTTTTAAATGTATTTGAGGGGCCCTGAACTAAACACAACCAAAAGTCACCCATTAGTGCTCCTTGGAAAGGTTGGAAAAAAAAAATGTAGCGCAGTGCGGCAGTTTTACTGGTTAGCGTGAAATTTTGGTAGATACGTTCATCAGAAGAGAGCGCACCAAGGGCGCGTGACCGAACTTGAACAGGAAGTCGGTCATTTTGGTTTGAAGCAGCCATTTTAGGGCAAATGCCAAAGATTGGGCAAATTTCACCCAAATTTATGCCATTTTTCTGTTTTTGTTCCAGGCACAATTTTAACATGGTGAATATCCTCAGCGGTAAAACAAATTCAGCCAACATCTCGGAAAGGTCGCCTTTGCTGAGGTTCTCACACGATGACAGGTGAGCGCGTTCTAACGCCAAAAACAAAGCAAAAAAAAAAAAAAGTTTCTATAAATGTATTGTAAATCAAAAAATGGCTTTGATTTGCTCATGCGTCAGCATGGCCTACATGACCATGCATCATCCCAGCGAGGAGCCTTGGGACAGCAGCGCCATGGACCTGGAGAGGAGGTACCGATTGGGCAGCGAGGTGACCAGTCTGTCCCTGCTGCGCTCTAACTCATCCGACAAGAGCGACCCCCTGGAGCACCTAAGCCTCAGCTTCAAGCTTGCCAGAAGTGTCAAGTGAGGATCCCCACTATACACACCATGTGTAGACTGCATGTATGTGTGTATGTGTGTGTGTGTATATGTGTGTGTATGTATGTAGTTGGAGGAGTAGTCGTGTTGGTAGTTTGGTCTAATCTGTTTTTTGTTTTGTTCACAGATGCTGCTTCCGCATCTCCAAAGTGGCCACCATCTTCACCATTGTTGTTCTGTGCAGTGTAAGGGTGTCATAATCGTTTTAGCTGAGAATGAGAAGAAATTCGCTCAGAGTCACCGCTGCTGCGATTGATTTATTGATTTATTTAGCGGCATGGGGGACAACTGGTTAGCACACCCGCCTCACTGTACTGAGGCCCAGGGTTCAAATCCGGGCTGCGGCCTTCCTGTGTGGAGTTTGCAAGTACTCCCCGTGCCTGCGTGGGTGGGTTTTCTCCGGGTACTCCGGTTTCCTCCCACATTCCAAAAACATTCATGGCAAGTTGATTGGGCGCGAATAGTTGTTTGTCCATGTGTGCCCAATCGGCTGGCAACCAGTTCAGGGCGTATCCTGCCTACTGCCCAACGGCAGCTAGGACTGGCTCCAGCACACCCGTGAAACTCGTGAAAATAAGCTGATTGCAAAATGGATGGATGGATTTTTTTTTTTCCATTTACATAATTTATTTATTTGTAATTGTTGTTGTGTGTCCAGCTGTTCTTCAGCATGTATCCTGATCGGGACAACCCTTGGTGGGCGTATCCCGCTTAGTGCCCAAAGACAGCTGGGATAGGCTCCAGTGCACCCGTGAAATTCGTGAAAATAAGCTGATTGCAAAATGGATGGATGGATTTTTTTTTCCATTTACTTACTTAATTTATTTGTAATTGTTGTTGTGTGTCCAGCTTTTCTTCAGCATGTATCCTGATCGGGACAACCCTTGGAGGATGCTGGCCGTCTCATCAACCGAAAGCTTCTGTATCCACTAAAAATTCCAAACAGACAAAAAAAAAAAGAAGTGGACCTATAGGTGGGGGTGGTATTTGCTAACCAAAACTAAAACAAAAACAAAAAAATCTGAAATAATGAAAGTCAGTGGAGATGAGGTAAAAAATTCCCGATTTCTTTTGAAATTTGGCTTCACCTTTTTATTTTTTCCCCCAGGTGATTTACAACTGGACCATTCCTCTGCACAGCGAGCATAGCGACCAGATGGTAGTGACCAAAACATTTGAGATGCTCATTAACCAAAACTAAAACAAAACAATCTGAAATAATGAAAATCAGTGGAGAGGAGGTAAAAAATTCCCGATTTCTTTTGAAATATGGCTCCACCTTTTTTTTTTTCCCAGGTGATTTACAACTGGACCATTCCTCTGCACAGCGAGCATAGCGACCAGATGGTAGTGACCAAAACATTTGAGATGCTCAGCAGGTATGTCACCACAAAGAAACAAAGCAACAAATACTTTCTGACTGTACTTTAGGAATTTGTACGTTACGATTTATTTTTCTGATGATTTTTGCTGAGTTTAATTTACACAACTTTGTTTGCCGTCCTAGCGACCCCATCACGATCACGGTGCAGGCCTTCATGGCGGACGCTGAGGTGGTGCCGCTCTCTATCACCCACCAGTCGCTCTACTTCAACGTGGAGACGCAGGTGGCCATCGCCGGCATCATCCTGACGGGTGTCTACGTTCTCATCATCTTTGAGGTACGTCCCTCCGGCAGGGGAGATGTCCTCTTTGACTCGGCAGCTTTTACATATGACTAGTGCGCTGTGTGTGTGTGTGTGTGTGTGTGGGGGGGAGTGGCCTGTCGTCGTAGTAGTAGTAGTAGAAAGTGCAATACTGTAAACCAGGGGTGTCAAACTCATTTTTGTCGCGGGCCTGATTTTAGTTAGTTTCCCTTGGAGGGCCGTTATGACTGAAACCATGTAAAGAAGTCAAGAATAACGGTTTATTCACCTATTGTTTAGGCTACTACAAATGAGAATTAAAAATTTTGGTCGAGATTTTAGCAAGCATCATGAAAGTTGACATCTTTGATTTGCTTTCGCGGGCCACATAAAATGATGCGGCGGGCCAGATCTGGCCCCCGAGCGTTGGGTTTGACACCTGTGCTGTAAACTATATAACTAAGGCGTAGTTGTTGTCGTAATTGTACTGTTGTATTCGCAAAATTAATATTAGCTTTAGTAGCAAAAGAAACGGTAAGTGTACTGTTAGTAAAATGAATCTGAAATTGAGCAGTTTTAGGAATAATGGAAGTAGTCGTATTAAAATTAATACCATCGAACCTTGTTTCAACGTCGCCCGTTTGCACCGCTATAACGTTCACATTTGCAAGTCCCAATTTCAGGACATTCATTTCCATTTGGCAATTTTGCTTACTGCGAACACCTTTATAGCGCACACATCATTATATCGACCAGATAATTTTTTTTTTCCATCTCTGTGTATTGAGTCCACATTGTTGTGGCTGTCGCTGTTTGCATTTTCCAGATCGTCCATCGCACTCTGGCAGCCATGTTGGGATCTTTGGCCGCCTTGTCCGCTTTGGCCATCATTGGGGACGTAAGTTCGCATTTTCAGCACACCGCGAGAAACTCGACAGCTCGCCACCTTATTAGAAACAGTTTCCCATTCTTGAATCAAACTGCTCTGCTCATTCGGGACTTCTTGGGAAATATTCAGTTGAGATTTTCCACACTAACCTCACATTTCCATATTTGCCGACTAATTCAACCCATTCCCAATATCATGTCTTACACTGAAAGATTCAATATGAATTGGATCGAATTTCTGGTCAACCCTGTACAGAAACGTGTCGTTGCTGTTTGTTTCCCTCCCGCAGCGGCCCAGTTTGGTCCAGGTGGTGGAATGGATCGACTACGAGACTCTGGCCCTGCTCTTTGGCATGGTGAGACCACGGGATTCCGTCGGCGCTTCCCCCACAGTCTCCCCCCCGTTGTCATTCCGTTTTAAAAGCCCGTCGCCATGGTTACGTGCACGTCCCGCCCGGTTTTGTGCAAAGCTGAAACAAATGCGGCTCCGCAGCAGTGCTAATATGCCAAAATGACTCTCATGACATGAAACAATCATAAATAATGGCTCACGCTTACAAGAGTGATGCCCAATTCCGATGTCAGCAGTTCCCTCAAATAATGTCAAGGCAAAAGCCTGAACAAAATCCCATGTAAAGACTGGAGTGAGCGAATCAGTGGAGTTTGGTGATGCATATGACATCAATGGCATTCAAAATCAAAGAAAATGTCATTATATACAATGTGTTGCAAGCCTGACGAAAAATAAAATGTAGGAATAACTTGGTGTGAGTACATCGATCACGTCAATAAAAATGAAATCAGATTAAAAATGCAATCAAATGAAATGAGATGTAGAAATAAATCAAATAAGTCTGAATGAATTGCTCTAAGCCTGACCAAGATAAGAGCTGAAATAAACAATCGTCGTTGTTCAGCCTTAAATTTACTGTGAGGAACTCAATATCCACACTGGAGTTGTGTGACGACCGCAACAGTCAATCAAAGAGAATTTGCAAATCCGTCACGTCGTCGTCTTTGTCTTGCAGATGGTGCTGGTGGCCATTTTCTCCGAGACGGGCTTCTTTGACTACTGTGCCGTCAAGGTGCGTTTTGGTGCTTCCCCGCACTTCAATCCAAAGTGAGGCGACAAGATTGATATCGACCTCTCGGCTATTCTCCGCACGCTTGACATTTGAATGGCCGCGCATGGATGACATTTGCCGTGTTTAGCGGGCAGAAAGTAGGTCAGCGCTGACAATGACATGCGTCGGCCTAAGTTTTTTTTTTTCCCTCCCCCCTGTGACTTCCTGTTCTGGGGAATGTCTGCCCATGAACAGGTTAAAAGGTGAAAGGTCACAGTGACCTCCTCACACTTTGGCCCGAGATCACAAATTTCACACGGGGATCTAAGAGGTGCCAGGGATGAAACTTTTCGTCAGCCTGGCTTGATTTTCACGAGTGCAAATTGAATTTGTGACGCAGGCCCTTCGTCCTCGTCTCCTCGTGGAGGTCAAGGACGTGCACAAACTTCAGGAACTCTTTGCGGTAATCCCGAATATGCACAATCGGTCCTCCGGGCCAAGGCGGTGATAATAATCAAGGCTGATGAATTTTAATGCGCTGAGTGAGAAGGACGAGGCCCTCTCGCCGACTTAACGCTCATCAGAGGTTCGCATTCTCTGCCCCGCTAAGATTGAATTTTTGTCAACCTTGCAGAAAAAAACCCAAAAAGCTCATAAGGTGGAAATAGGTAAGAGATAATAGTTTACAATGTCAAAAATAAAATATGAAATGATAGATGTATGAGGAAAATCTTATACTGTACAGTATTGTACATACTGTGTGAAAATGAAAAAAAATATATACTGCATGAGAAAAATCTTCGATACGAAAATCAAGAAAATATAGAAAATGCAAGACTAGATAAGAGAACACACTTTTGATATACCGGTAATTTGAGAAATACAAAATGTTGAACATGTGGCTTCGCCCTGGAAATTTACTGGTAACTTTCTAAAGTAGAAAATGCAAGACTAGATAAGAGAACACACTTATCTAGGGGCTTCGCCCTGGAAATTTACTGGTAACTTTCTAAAAATGTACCTGTGAATTTCCACACATTAGCAACCCTGCGAACGTCGACTTCCACTTTGCTCTTGTGAGTCTTCACTGTTAATTTTCACTTGACGTCACCCTCATGGTTCTCAGCATCACATCTCACATCTCCGCTGGCTGACGGATGCTGACTCATCCTTCTCTCACTTTCCTTCCTTCCTTCCTTCTTTGCTTGCTTGCTTGCTTTGTTCCTGGTAGGCCTACCGCCTCTCCAAAGGCCGAGTGTGGCCCATGATCATCATCCTGTGCCTCATCGCCGCCATCCTCTCGGCTTTCCTGGACAATGTGACCACCATGATGCTCTTCACCCCCGTCACCATCAGGTGCCACCATTTTTTTATTTTTTTTTTTAAAGTCTTCTGGATTTCACTTAGAATTTTGGGGGGGACATATTGTTATTGAAGCTAGAAAACGCTCTGTCGACATCGCAGGGTGTACGACAAACCTTAATATTTTTGTTTTTATCTGAGTCAAGCTCATACTAGAAACTATTTCCAACAAATCTCTGTTTGTGTAATATGGCTTGGACATGTGATCGCTGAAAAAGGGACATTCATTTGTGATTCACTCGTCACTCCCTCAACTGAAGACTTCTTCAATGCCTCGTTTCATTTAAGATGTGAATACCAGAGTTTCCCTTACTTACGTGTTCCATAAATGTCCAGTTATTTGTTGCCACTAATTTCTGCGTAGATTGGTGCAGCAGGTTTTGGAGGCAAATTTCCTGTTCAGTTTTGAGAACCAAATTTTGTATCGATGGGTGAAACCGGTGTGCGGGACAAGCTATCGAGGTGGTTCGGAGTACGTTTAACATTTGATTCCTTTTTGGCATTTCTTAAAGATTGTGTGAGGTGCTCAATTTGGACCCCAGGCACGTGCTGATCGCCGAAGTCATCTTCACCAACATCGGCGGCGCGGCCACAGCTGTGGGCGACCCGCCGAATGTCATCATCGTGTCCAATCAGGACCTGCGCAGACAAGTAGGAGCTCACTCAGGCTGGCTTTTTCTGGCTTCGCTGTGCACTCTTGACAAGGTGTCATGTCACCCAGACCCAGGTGTAAAAAACACATCTAAAAAAAAAAATAGACTCTGGTGAAAGCACATACTGATACAAGTAAAAATAAAAAAGTACCAACAACGAAAGTAGAAAAAGAATGTTGGGTCATCATCCATGGAGGTTGAAAAAAAATAACAAGCCTACTTTGGACAAAGTAATGGAGTAGAAAGTACAGACATTTGTTTTGAAATGTAGGGTGTAAATAGAAAAGGTAAAAAATACATATAAAAAAAACCTACAAAGCAAAGCACAGATACCTGAAAAATCTGCTTAAGTACAATAACAAAAGTATTTGTACTCTCAGCACTGCAACAAACTGACCAATAGTGAGGCAGAGCTCAAAGAGGTGCGCATTTTGTATACATGGCAATTTAGAATGCAAATACAAGGACACTCGGACTTGATGTAAACAACAACACGAAACTCCACAGCGCGGTCGCCGCGTCTATCTTTGGATTTCGCCCGAAAATATCCCTCCCGTGAAAACGCAAGCAAACAAAACAGCCGAGCAAACCATGCGTGCGCCCACAAGCTGTCCTTATCAGAGTGCCGCCACGACCCAACTGGCGTCCCCCTCCTCGCCGTCCCCCGCCCACTGCTCTTCTGTGAGCGGCGCCAAGACAAACTGGACGGCGGTGCGGCGGGAGCCCCCCCCATTTGCTGGAATCAACGGAGCGAATATGGCCAGCGCGCCCGCCAAAGGCCAAAATGTCAAGCGCGGATGTCAGCGGGAAGCTACTTGGAGAACGAGGAGGTGATGCGCCTCCTGGTGATACTCCGCCAAGTAGATGACAAAGTTGTTTCTCGCAACAGTGCAGTACTGTAGAGCCAAACGGCGACTCTTGCCAATACAAGCAAAATCCAAACAGGCAAAGCTTGCCGCCATTCTACACGAAGATTCTTGATGAAAAATATCCACAGTTTGAATTTCGTGCGTAATGTCTTATTCCTCCAGTAAAAGTCTCTTAATAGCTCATTCCAGGTAATGGTTACAAAATGGAAGGTGCAGAGTAGAAAAAAAAAAAAACATGCCATGTTCTGCCCGTATTCCTTGCTCAAATGCTTTGTGATTTAGCTTCCCCCTGTCTGTTTTTATCATATTTGTACGGTTTGTTCCTCCAGGACCGATTTCGTTGGAATTCGTGGAAATTGCCCGTAATTGAGGCCTCCGAGTAAAATGACTTTTTATCATATTTGTACGGTTTGTTCCTTCAGGACCGGATTCATTGCTGAAAATTGCCCGTAATTGAGGCCTCCGAGTAAAATGACTGTTTTACCGTTCACATTTCCTTTCACTTTTCATCTGTAGTCTTTGCAGACAACTTAAATACTCTTTTGTGATTGAGCGTCAACGCTCATTCCTCCGAGACGAGTTCAAGCACGACATCTCGAAATGGGTGAACTCATCCGATAAGTAAACTGCAGCTACTTTCTTATCCTCGCGCTAAAACAAAAGTTTGTATGAGGTCGTAATTACAGAACATACATTTTATAAATGCAAAGGTATATATTAGGGTGTGACCGATATGGTGATTCCAATATTGGGCTGAATTATATTCCAATAACTATACCTACCTACCTACCTACCTTCCTTCCTTCCTTTTCTCTAACTTATTTTTGGCCGAGCCTTAGCATATATTTATCTAACAATCGTGACACGTGGCCGATAAGAATTTTTTTTTTTTAGTCAGATGGAGATTCCAATATTAGGCAGAATTTTTTTCCAGTAACTGATGAATCAGCCTAATAATAATAATAATAATAATAATAATAATAATATATATATAAATTTTTTTTTTTCTCTCTAACTTATTTTTGGTCGAGCCTTAGCATATATTTATCTAACAATCGTGACACCAGTCCTTGCACCCTTAAAATTCCAAGACTGCCCGCTTTGACATACGATCTCTCGAAACACCCGAAATTGTCCGCCCATTGACACGACGACGCAAAACGTCCAGCCCGCATGTCGAAACGTTGACCCTGCCGTCTCGTTGTGCGCGTATCTCGCAGGGCATCGACTTTGCCAACTTCACCGGCTACATGTTCCTGGGAATATGCCTGGTCCTGCTCACTTCCTTCCCCTTCCTGCGCATGCTCTACTGGAACAAGAAGCTCTACAACAAAGAATCCATCGAAATAGTGGGTGAGTTCAAATACGACGCGCAGGTTGTGTTGATGGGGACCGTGAGCCTCGGTCGATAAACTGGAGCAACACCATCGCGCGCAGCAGTGTATTACGGTATGATCACTAAAATATGAAAAGAACTGCGACTTCCCAGTCGTCTTGTGCAGAACGCTCCAAGTCGGGTAATCCTTTGAGGACGCGGTCGATTAACCGCCTACATTGCGCCTCACGCAGACACTCCAGCGTTTACACTCAATGACACGCGGTCCCAAGGAGAGGAAGCTCAACAGGGCATCATTAAAACAGAACCACAGGAAAGTGGATCGCTTGGCGCCACGCTGTCAAGGCCAGCCACCGAGCCGATTGAAGGAAGCTGCCGATCGCGGCGGGTTCGGCCGCTCGCTCCTTGCGGCTCCACCGCTTGCCGTCTTGTCTCATAATTGCTCAGATTTGCTTACCAGAATAGCTCCTGTTAACCCGTCATGTTCGTTTAACGTGCACACATTGCACGTTCTGGCTCAGTTTCGACCCATCCCAAGAATATTCTCATTAATTATTCGATCCGGCGTGCCGAGACAAAGGTTGCTACCCAGTGTCACCGCCACCCTCATATGTGGTGGCCTGGCTGTATGCGTCCCTCTGTGGGACTCAACACTTATTGACCGGAAACATCATCTTCAAAGATGCGAGAACCACCCTTGATGCAAGTATTTTCTCTTTTTTTTTTGTGTGTGTGTGTGTGTGTGTGTGTGTGTGTGTGTGTGTGTGTGTGTGTGTGTGTGCGTGTGTGTATGTGTGTGTGTGTGTGTGTGTGTGTGTGTGTGTGTAATGTACGGCAGAGCTCAAACATGAGATTCTGGTGTGGAGGCAGACAGCCCAGCGCATCAATCCCGCCAGCCGAGAGGAGACGGCTGTCAAATGCCTCCTGATGCAGAAAGTCCTGAACCTGGAAAGTCTGCTGCGCAAGATGATGAAAACATTCCAAAGGTAAAAAAAAAAAAAAAAATGGCATCACTTTGACATCATGTTATGCCCACATGACACCCAAGTAGGCAACGTCTCCGACACGGCGAGGATACTTGCTCGGTTAAATTCCTTGAGAGTCTTTTAAAAAACGAGCATGGATTCAAATTCTCCCAAAATGGCTGCTTCAAGCCAAAATGGCTGACTTCCTGTTCACTTTCGGGCATGTGTCTTTGAGACTTTTTGGGGGAATCCTGTTAGGATAGCTATGTCCGCCCAATTTTGTGTTGATTGGCGAAATTGGTATCAAGAGCTCTTTATTTATTTATTTATTTATTTAAGCTTCCCAGTGTTTGCTCGAGAGTAAGAAATGGCTTCCACTGTTCAAAATGGCTGACTTCCTCTTCACTTGAGGGCACAGTTACTTCGACATTTTTGTGCATTCCCTTAAAATAGAAACATCCGCCAAATTTTGTGTCAGTGGGTGAAATTGGTGGTGGGACGCCTATTTTTCCCAACTTTTTAGGGTGTGAGTAAGAAATGGCTGTTTCAAACCAAAATGGCTGACTTCCTGTTCCATTTCAAAGGTCTTTTTTGTGTGTGTGTGCGAATTCTGTTCGGGTAGGCATGTCCACCCAATTTCATGATGAGCGGTGAAACGGGTTTCAAGGGCCCCCCCTTTTTTTTTTTTTTCAAAACTTTCTGAGAGTTACTAGTGAGGAAGAAATGGCTGACTCGCTTCATGTCATTCCATTCAAGACAATATGATGACAATGCATTTGAACATGACGTGAAATGTGTTTGACAGAGAAATTTCCCAAGAGGACAAGAACTGGGAGCAGAATATTCAAGAGCTTCAAAAGAAGGTGTTTTTTTGTTTTTTTTTTGGTCTTACATGTGAATGCTTGATCTCACGGGTTATCTTCCTCATGATGTGTTTGAAAGTTGCGCAGGCCTTGTTCCTTGACACTTCTTGTCTTTTGTTCCCCACAGCACAGAATCACCGACAAGGTGCTCTTGGTGAAGTGCGTGTCGGTGCTGGCCGTGGTGATCTTCATGTTCTTTGTCAACTCTTTTGTTCCCAGCATACACCTGGATCTCGGTGAGGGCGGAATTGTGCTCATTGTTTGACTCACGGCGGGAGTCAAGTCATGACCTGTATGCCCTTATATAAGTTACATGCTGTTGATCATTGGCGGGAGATAAAAGTTCATACTTGGAAGGTAACGGCGCGTAAAAGTCAATAGTTATAAAATGAGTTAGTTATTTGTTTAGTTTTGAGTTATTTGTTGAACTAATGAGTTAGTGGATGAGTCGATTGTTGAGTTTTTAGTGGCTGACTGAATAATGTACCGGTACATACACAGCGAGTTCGTGAATTGGGTTCACTTATTTCGTGACTGAGGTCCTTGCTGATGAAGTGAAAATCTATCTCAGTGCAATTTCAAAATGTTTGTACTTTGTTATTTCCCACCACTATACACCTGCGATGTCGAGAATCGATGATCGAAAGGCACCCCAATAATGACGCTGTCTGGTGGCTGCCCCGGTGCACGCCTCAGTTAATTACAAGCCGCCTGGCCGTGACATTTGTTAAACGAGCGTGTCCCCCATAGCAGCGTCCCGGGTGCCAACGCGACATTGGTTTCAATTACACCCGCTTTCAAAAGCTCGGCCTCATTAAAAGCTCATTAAGCCACCACGGTTGAGATATCACTTTGCTCCGTGGGTGGCCACTGACGCTTCCTCATCCGTCACCGATGGATGGACGCTCACGAGTCGTTGCACGCAAACATGCCGCCAGAGACTCATATTTGCTACAAACGCCTTATTCGGCAGGATTTAGTTCGGACTCAGTCATTCGTGTGACGTTTGTCCTACAGTGACATTTTACTCACTTTTAAGCCAAATCCACTTCGACGAGTGCACTAGGTACCAGTAAATGGTTATGTTTCCCTCGACGTTGCAGTTGTGTGAATTTATAATTCATGAGGGAAAGAGTGAGTTTATTTTTATGTATTTGTATAGCGCCTGAGTGAAAGAATGAATGAATTAGCTCCTTGGTGAGTGAGTTTACGAACAAGTTGCTGAGTGAGCTTGTTTATTTACCTAGCTAGCTAGTTGTCTTACTCGCTAGCTAGCTAACTAACTAGCTAGCTAGTGAGTGAGTGAGTAAGACACTTAACTCCGCAATTTTGGGCAGAATTTCAGGAGCTGCGATTCAAAGTTACTTTTTTATTGCCGTTTGCTTGGTTAGTTGGGTTGTCGGCCGAGGTGTCCAATCCACGTCCAGAAAATCAAAACCTGAGCCACCGTTTCGTTTTCGCCAGAGTTGCGTCATACTGCGGCAAGCTCGAGAAACTCACCTCTGATTGTCAGCCAAAATGTGAAGAAACAAACAAACAAAAAAAAAAAACAAATTAAATATATGGCCAAACAAATAATGAAATGAAAAATGTACATTCATGGGCATGAATTGTTCAGTCCAATTCAGTGAGCATAGCCCACTTGAGAAGCAAAACGAGCAAAACATGCTTCAAAACTGGATTGAATTGTGATTGATTGCATGAGTCTCTCGCGTCTTTTTTTTTTTTTTGGCATCCTTCTGCTTCCATTCGTCTTTGTGCTCTTTCTTGGAAGCAAAGCAATTATTGCTGATATATACGCAAAATTACAGCGGATGGACTCGTGTCCTTGTTTTCATTATTTTTTCCTTTTTTTGTCCAATGGTTTTTAATGCAGCCTTTTTTTCTCAATTATACTTTATTGTTGATTTGTTCTCTCCCGCTCAGGTTGGATCGCCATCCTCGGCGCGCTCTGGCTTTTGATCCTGGCTGACATTCAGGACTTTGAGATGATCTTACACAGGGTGGAGTGGGCCACGCTGCTTTTCTTTGCTGCCCTCTTCGTCTTGATGGAGGTGCTTCATTTGAACAATAAAGAAAAAAAAAAAAACACTAGAAACATCCACAGTCTCAGGAAAATAGCATTCTCGACGTGATTGTTCCAATTTTTTTTTTTTTTTTTTAACCCCCTGTTGTTGATGTTGTAGGCTCTGGCCCAGCTGCAGCTCATCGACTACATCGGCGAGCAGACGGCCTTGCTTATCAAAGTAAGTCACCCTGTTTTGAAGTGCGCCTCCATTAGTCGGAAAGAACTACAAATACTTCGCTCCTGTACTTGCGTACATTTCAGGTATCTATTACTGTACTTAGTTATTTTTCCGGTGTCATCTGAATACACAAACAAACAAAAAAACCTTAGTGAATCGTGAAAATCCGCCAGTAATTGACGGCAACATAAAATGGCCTGTAGTCGCCACAACATGGTGGCAAAGTAAATGTTTCTATTAGACTCCTCCCCTCTGTTCAACATACAGTATTTGCTGGCGCCAAAGCACCATTTTTGTATTAAACATGGCTTTACTGTATTTGCTTGTCACCTGTATGCCACCAGATGGCGCCAAAGCACCATTTTTGTATTAAACATGGCTTGGAATGAGTACATCTTCTGTCACCAGTCTGTACTTCTACTCAAGTACAGAGTGTGAGCACTTATGCCAGCGATGCACCTGTGTCATTGGCAACACCGGTGACACATCGTATCAGCTTTCGGATATTTCGTTCCATACATTGCCTGCAAATTCCGTGACCACGTTTCCACCTGGTATCGCTTCGAATGTCATCGTCTTGGCCTGCCTCGTGAGCGGGCATGAGATTGCAGCCGTAATAAACGCGTCAGCTGGAAGAAAGCGGTGAGCCCCCCCCACAGCGCGGATAATCGCTGGTGACAGGTGGCGTTGCGCTGTTTTCGTCTGACTTCCTGTGAAACACACACACTCACAAAAAAAAAAAAAAAAAAAACTCATCTGCATGCAAGCGTGCGACAGGTGCAAGGCAGAGATCTCATTTGTGTTGCTTAGCGGCTTGATGGAGCAAAACTGTGCATTATTCGTCTTTGTGAAGCGGTGGCGGGGAGTCACAAATTACCAATACTTTGCTCTTGTACTTGAGTAGATTTTTCAGGTAAATGTATTTGACAACATTTTACTCCTTACATTTGAAAACAGATATCTCGACTTTCCTCTCCTTATTTTGTCAAAATAGGCCGGTTCCCCTTTTTAACCTCCATGGCTGATGATGTCAAGAAAGAGAACCGCTCATGTTCTCATGCTCTTGATTGCAGGCCGTGCCCGAGGACCAGCGCATGGCCATCGCCATCATCTTGGTGATGTGGGTCTCCGCCTTGGCTTCTTCTCTCATCGACAACATCCCCTTCACCGCCACCATGGTGAGCATTGCGCTCCGTCCGTGGCGCGAGTGTAACATTGCAAGTAGCCAGTACTGGCTCATCAGCGACTTCATGTTGCGTGGCGTGTATCATGTTCTCGGATATGCTACGTTATAAATGAGGCTATTTGGGGCGCTACTGGAAGAGCTATCCATTAAAAAAAAAATTCAAATCTCTTTTTCTCTCTTCAGATTCCAGTCCTCATCAACTTGAGTCAAGATGCGGATGTGAACCTGCCTGTGAAACCTCTCATCTTTGCCTTGGCCATGGGAGCCTGCCTCGGCGGTCAGTCTCACTAATATGAATGTTGGACATAGTCCTGGTAGCTAACCAGCAAAAGAAATAATGGTGACCAAAATATAACCTTTTCCTCTGTCTGTTGTGTTTACCGACCGGCCGACCGACCTACCCACCAACTTACCTACTATCAAACAAAACGTATTTGGTTATTTTTTTAATATAACCATGATCACTGACTCACTCACTCACCAGAAGCGACCAAAACTTGTTTTTTTAATACAAGCATGGCAACTAACTAACTAACTAACTAACTAACTAACTAATGAACTAACTAACTAACTAACTAACAGAACGCAAAACTATATTCGATCTTTTATGTAATCATGCTCACTCATTCACTGTGACTAAAAGGTATTTGGTTATTTTTATGTAGTCTTGGTAACCAACTAACTCACCAACTAACTAACAGCACCAAAACAAATTTAGATAATGTAATCATGCTCACTCACTGTGACTAAAAGGTATTTGGTTATATTTATGTAGTCTTGGTAACTACCTAACCAACTAACCGCCCGTGCATAGCTAACTGACCTACTAAGTAACTAGCAAACTAACAATGACTACGTGTTTGGTTAGTTCATATTTTATGTAGTCCTGGTAACTAACTAGCTAGCTACCAGTAAGCAAAACAAATTTAGATATTTTATGCAATCATGCTCACTCACTCACTCACTGTGACCAAAAGGTATATTTCTTTATCTTAAGTGTGATCCTGGTAAATAACTAACCAACTAGCTAACTAACTGCTTCATGCAAAGCCATTTGAGCATTAATTCAATATCCTTGATATCATCTTCAGTTCCATGTGCCAGTAGGCTCTTTGTCTGCTTCTGTCTTGACATGTTACAAGTGAGGCTCGAGTGTGGACATTGACCTGACACTTGCGTGCCGTCGTTACTACTCGTGAAATCGTGAAAATTCTACTCGTCATTCGCGGTTGCCGTAGGACGCTGACCCCTTTTGCGTGTACGTGTGCGTGTGTGAAGGGAACGGCACATTGATCGGGGCGTCGGCCAACGTGGTGTGCGCCGGCATCGCGGAGCAACACGGCTACGGCTTCTCCTTCATGGAGTTCTTCAGGTAGGCTCCTTCTTCGGAAGTTGATGTGACACAACCCATCCGGCTGCCGTCTTACGACGCCCGAAAGGTCTGCTAGCATGTTAATATCCCACATATGTCCCGTACTCAAGCAGACGCCGATGATGATGCGTCCACTCGCTTAAGAGAAAGAGGATGTCGGGAATGTGGAAGCAAGGCACTTTTGAAGGCATCATTGGTTCATTTGCGAGCCCGTCGGCTCATATTTCCCAGACTCTTGGTCTTTGTTCGTGAGAATCACTTGTAGTAGTCCATCATCAACCTTTGATGATGACTAAAGTTCTCTTGAAAATCAGTCCGCGTGTAGCCCACAGACCACTAATGGCTGAAGGAAATATCGGGAGAACCGAATTCAGTTAGCCGTAAATGAGAGTACTTCTCTCAACCGGGTACTCCAAACTGCCTTGCACTCACTGAACTCAAAGCCACAGGGCTGGTTGCTATGGAAGCCGGGCCATGATTCCATCTACAGACCCAGCAAGCCACCAAAAGTGCTCACACTTGGGTTGTTGTTCTCGTATCAATGAAGACTCTGCTAAAAGTACCAGTACAGTGGTACCGCTACTGAAGAGATCAATTGGTTGGAAGAAATTTCCGAACTGGAAAATTGCAAAAGTAGAGATGCGTTTTCCATGTAAATGCCTTCATTCGTTCTAAGCCCCCTAAAATTCTGACATTTTACAAAGCATAAAAATGCATCAAAATATGTAACAAATACATGTTACAATTAGATTATTGCACAATAAATGAGAGTTGTGCATCATGTAAAAAAATAAATAGACTAAAGAATAAAAATGATGGTCATTTAACTTTCAATCGTGTCCTCATCGTTTTTTGCCCTCGTATGTTCACGTTCTCTCTCCCAAGTGTTTTTTGCCTGGCATTTTGTCAACGACTGATCCAAGGACGTTTTCTTTTGTCGGCTTTTAACAATTCTTCGAAAATGTCCAAGGCAAACATCAGCATAGTGAGCGATTGCCCGACTGGTGAACACTTTTTCTGAGTGATTCACATTTACGTAAAACTATCGGAACACCTCCTGGGCAAATGACGAGGACGCCGCATCGACACATACTATTTATCTACCCACAGACACATACGGTAGAGGTCCCGCTTAGCCAATAGGATGCCAGGAAGATGCTCGGTAATAGCCAATGGCTATGCTGCGTTCAGGAAACTCGGAGCTACAAGTAGCAGCCCATACTGTAGTTACCTTTCGTATCTTGACTTTTCTTTCATAACAAGAGGCAATATTTTCCCATTGAGACGTTTCTTGAAAATTTTGTATGAAGAAACGTTCATAAGTCGAGGTACCACTGTACTCAGTCGAGCCCTTTACTGCGATTTGTGCGACTACGGTTCCAACATCTTCCCAAATATTTTCAAAGGTCTTAAAGCCATGAGTGGTGCGCTGCAAAAAAAAAAAAAAAGAAGAGTGGATGAAGCAGAAATGAATGTGCTGGCAAATTTTCAGATCAAATCATTTTCAGGCTACAAAAACGCTGTGGTTGGTTTCGTGAAAAGGACTGTAAATGGGCTCTCTTCCTCGCCGTCTTTTGACTTCCCGGATGGAAGTCCGACCCCCGGTCACAAGTAGGTCACCTGTGCCTGGGTCTCAGCTGCTCGCGGGGAGGCGGGGAGGCCGCTGATTGCGAGGGAGACCCCCTCGGAGCCCCCGACAGCTGAGGTCTGACTGGTGCGGCGTTGACTTCACGCCCGACTTGATCCCCGCGGCCTTTTTTCATGGACCGTGACTTAAGAATCGCGAGCGGTCACCAGTGGCTGCCTGATCCCTCCGTTATTCTCCTTGCAAGCTATGAAATTGCTTTGACCGATGCTTATGAACTCATCAATGACTCCGACTGTCATTCCACACGGAAGCGACATCTGCTCCGAATTAGATTTTAATGACGGCAGTCCGCTTGTTAAGGTTGAAAGGACTTTACAGAAATTTAAGAATAATTACAGCTGTTCTCGCTAACAAATGCTCTTAAAAACATAATCTCTGACTGCACTTTTTTTTTCGTAATCCTGTTAACGAACCAACACTTTGGCCAATGGTACATAAAAAAAAAACCCACTTTGCACAGACTTGCTGTGTCTATTCGAGCGCAGCTTCAGTGATGTGGGTCGGGACGTGCGAGTGGTTGTGAGACAATGTCCACCTAAACTGGCTTGGGGGCAATTGATTAATTACATGAGTCTCCGGTTTTGGGAGTCATCAAAATTTGTGTCCAATCTCAACCAATATAAAAATCAAATGACTTGTGACAAGTGCATGAACATTGACTGAAAATGAAAAGACCTTCTGGAATACGACTTGAAAACAGCTGCTTGGAAATGTCACACTTCCCCATGTCTTGGGCCCTAATATTAATAACAACTGGCACAATGCGCATGTCGGCTTTCTGGTGTGGGTCCAACTGATCCGTGCTGGCTGACGACCCGGGGGCAAAGTCTCCCGGGCCCCGCGAGGCGCCATGTGTCCATGGAGGACATGGGCGGCGGCCAAAGGCCCGACCATCTGCAGTCACTCGAGCATACGAGGACGCGCTAAAGTGAAAGCGGCGGCCAAGTGAGAGGGCGCCGACAAGTTCATCCTGAAGATGTCTGTCCGCCGCCTCGGAAGTCGTTTGCAAAACATTCAGGGGAAAAAAAAAAAAATCGGGTAATCGTTCTCCCCTTCTCATGAAGCAGCCGAAGTGAGTTTCAAGGGCGATGCGTTCAAAGACACGTCCAAAAATGCGACATTCTCAACTCAAGTGTATTCATAACGCTCTTTAAATTAGTTTTGAGACGAGTTTTAAAGACGGGCAACGAGGGGGCTTGCCGAACTCTCAGTGGGAGTCGTTCCAAAGAGAGGGACCGGCAACGAAAAACGTTGGATCCCCGGTGGGCCCCCGCTTAGTACCTCTAATATTGTGTTACTTTTTGTGCTCCGACAGGTTAGGCTTCCCCATGATGATCATGACGTGCATGATCGGCATGTGCTACCTGCTAGCCACTCACATTGGACTCGGGTGGAACATGTGATCCAGGACTTGAATTGACGCAGAAGCAAGACCACAATCAGGGATCTCAAGCTTAAATGGTCCAGGCTTTTCCTCTCCTGAGTGGAAGGAAGCGGGCCAAAGCAGCATTCGGCAAAAATTCAATTGTACCCCCACCCCCCTTCCCCCTATCAAACAGACAATGAATGCTTTTTGTTCAATATGGCCTCACCTATTAAACAGAATATTCCCCAAAAGACTATTATTGTTCATATTTATGTTTAAAGGAACCATAACACCCATTTAAAGGGATTTTATAATCGTTCATGTGTAATGCTTTTGGGCACATACCCGTCAAATGTTCTTCTGTTGGCAGAGCTCAGATGTAAGGTGCTTGAGCGGTGATCTCGTGCGGATGATTTCGAACTTCTAGTTGTGATGGTGTCTCGTCAGCGGCACCACTTCAGAGGACACCTGCCCCTTGCCCCCCACTGCCCCTCCCTCCAGAGATATCAAAGAAATAAAGTTGATGGGTGTTTTTAAATTCTTTCTGCTTGTCTGTCTTTAAACGTGTGGCCTTTCATTCTATGCTTTCAACATTTTACTCATACATTTTTGGTCTGCTGGGAATGCATTGAGAATCATTTATTGACAGGATCCCATCCACAAATGAGACATTTGCATTTTTATTTGATGTACGAGGTGATTGCTTGGCGCTGACTTAATTTGATTTCTTATCTTCTTTTCGTTGTCTGCGAGCTTAAATACATGACCAACTGCTTTCAAAACGCATCGCTTTCTTGCATCAGTGGAGGAATATAATCATACTTGACTCCGGTCAACATTTATAATGTCAGCCTCAAGAAGCCTCTTCAGCTTTCTTTGTGCTGTTGCTTAGAAACGGCCATGCCAGAGTCCGGCACTAATATGCATTCATTAGACGGCATTATTCTGCATCCAGCGCCACTACAACATAATGGGCAACGTTGAATGTGCATTACGATGTTATTCTTGTAGGCCGTAATTAAATCACAATGCACAATGACGACAACTGATTACACTTAAAAAGAAAACAAAAAAACTTTTATTACCCAACAATGCCGCTCTGGTGATTCACATTTCAAAGTTCATCAGGGAAATGCACAGCTCTGAAAATGAAGGAAGTGAAAACAAAAAGTGGAGCGGCAGGAAGTGGATGCTTATCAGCTCCCCCGCCTTCTCTGTGACAAATTGGCGGACTTTTACTTTTAATACCAGCGAGCACAGTCTCAACGTATGACCCAAGCTACAGCATCAACACAGGAAAAAAAGCTGTTTACCCCCCCCCTCCCCCCTCCAAAAAAAACCCCACATTGCTTTATATGTCCCAGAAAAGGAGGACATCTGGTCACTTATTATTCATGGACAATATCAACGACAGGTACATGTAAACAAACCAAAGACAACACACTCTTGACTGTCCGTTCACATAAGTGGCGACGTCTATTTTATCACTTCCCCCATTCCCAAAATGTATTTGTCATATTTGTGAAATTCACATGTCCTACGAAAAAAGGACCCCCCGCTGGTCACTCAAAAATCAGACTGATTTCTTGACAATATCCACTCGTGACCTTTGACCCCAGCGTGTAAGGATTGACATGTTTGTGCTCCCAAAAGATGTCTCCAGGAAACAGACATCGTTAAGTGTTATTTATTTGGGGGTACAACCTACTAAATTCCCGTGGGAGCCTATTGCTTTAAGTGATGCTCTAAAGTTATGCTTACACTTAAAAAAAAAAAAAAAATACATCACACAGCAACGCTAAGCTAAGTAGCCCATTCCAACGCCCACGGAACTCCACTGAATATTTGAAAACAACATACTGACATACTTTGTGCTACTAACGAATTCATGAAGCGTCTTTGGTTTATTTTCACACTATTTTTTTTAAACACGCCCCGAATATTGTTCTTTTTTTTTTTTGTATTAAGTATCAACAAATTATATGCTATATTTTAAAAAAAGAACTACCGGTATTAAAAAAATGTGATATTTATTTCATAACAACCTAATGTGAAAGAATTGAGCAAACAATGAACAGTAGATTTTCTCAGGAGTGTTTTAAAATTTAAGGACTACTATTTGAAATACAAATTTTGACCCAAAATATGTTAGGTATGAATGAAATACGAAATAACATTTGTTTGACTACTGGCTACTATTAGCAAGTTAGCTAGGTTAGCTAGAAAGTTCGCTAGAAAGAATGAGACATTACCTTGGTAATGTCTTATTCTTTCTAATTACGCCGTTAGTCGATGATTTCAAGAGGGTGTTGTCTGCAACTACTATTCTGACAAAAAATATTTGGCAAGGTATTTTCGGACTACCAGACATTTAGCAACTCAGTTATCTATTTACTTTGGTAACGTCTTTTTTTTTTTTTTTTTTTAAGAGAAAACTATTTATAAAGTCTATGTCAATATACATAGATATATAATACAATAATGTAATAGTAGACATTCTCAGGCAGGTGTTGAGTACTATTTGAAACTTGATCAAAATTGAAAGCAACAATGTTAGCAATGCATTTTAGGCTCCTGGCCACGATTATCAAGTCAACAACTCAGTTGGTTATTTATCTTGATAACCTCTTGATACTCAGGAGGGCATTGAAAGTCAAGGATTTAACTAGTATGACAGTAAGAATATTTGTGAGGCATGTTTTGGCTACATGCTACTAGTAGCTAGCGAGGAAACTCAGCCGAAGTGTAGTGTGCTGTATTCTATTATTTATGAATCCTGCCTTAAAAGACTGAGCAAACTAAACCAAACAACAACAACAACAAAAGCAATGAGTAAAAACACAGCATATGTAAAAATGCTACTCATTATTAAGAATAATACATGAGACAATGGGCTTTAGCCTAGTTTAGCGATAGCAGGTCAAAAGTTTCCTCATAATATTCCTTTAACACCCTCCACGTATGCCTACATTTTAAATATCACTAAAGGTACACCACACTGCCAACCGCTGTAGAAATTTTACAGCATACTATAAAGTTTGTTTATAGCAGGTCAAAAGTTTCCTCATAATATTCCTATAACACCCTCCACGTATGCCTACATTTTAAATATATTAAATATCACTAAAGGTGTACCACACTGCCAACTGCTGTAGAAATTTTACAGCATACTATAAAGTTTGTTTGTATTAATTCGTATTTCCCTGATTTTTGATGAGATTAGCATTAGCTCACAATGCATCTGTTCAGAATTATCACGTCATGGAGAGAATTTTGTAAAAAAAAAAAAAATAATAATAATAGAATCACTTAATAAAAAAAAATGCTGAAATGACATTTAACATTTGTGATATATTCTATATTCTTCTGCGCATTTATGAATCAGGCGCAATGATCCCTGAAAGTCTGTTCAAAGACGGACTTTTATGGTCGCTACAGACCTACAAAGCCAGGCCAGACGCTATGACATGGAGCAAAACATTTCCCGCTGCTCTGAATTTTTGTGTCCAACATGGTGTGCAAAGGACGTGAAGGCACCGAGAATGGTTTGAATGTCCTAATGTCGGATTCAAATGCTGAACCATCGTCTTGCTGTCTAAAGATGGGCATACGATGTAAATGAATCAATGCTAACCATCTCCGGTTGGTAAGCGTGTGCTTCTGTTGGCTAACTCCTAATCCGAGCCTGAAGAGAATCAACTATACGCCTCGTCCTTGACTGCATTGCGTATCTTGGTGTCTTATGAAAGAAAACAGCCATGACAGAAACAGCACGTAAGCTGCTCATTTTCTCGTGGAAAGGCTAATTGTTTTGTTATGTTTTAAGAGGTTGAAGTGGGCCCAAGCAGTAGTCCACGTACACTTTGGGGGCCAATTGATCCCCCTAGTTATGACATTATTTGCGATGTATTTACAATGATTTTGAAAGGACAAATTAGTTTCCGGTCCCTGCTGTGACTCCCACCAAGATAGAGAGGGAGTGGAGAGAGGGGCGTGGCCATATTGTTCATTTCCAGTCATTTAAAAAAATATATATATTATTGAAAATACAATCATCCATTCATCCATTTTGTGATCCGCTTATCCTCACAAGGCCTGCTGGAGCCTATCCGAGCTGTCTTGAGGCAGTGGGCGGCGTCCACCCTGAACTGGTTGTCAGCCAATCACATGGCACACAGAGACGAACAACCATTCACGCTCACAATCACACCTAAGGACAATTTCAAGTGCTCAATCGGCCTGCCATGCATGTTTTTGGAATGTGGGAGGAAACATGCAAACTCCACACAGGAAGGCCGGAGCCGGAATCGAACTATTCACCTCTCCACTGTGAGGCAGACGTGTTAATCAGTTGTCCACCGTGCCGCCAAGTCTTATGATATTCCTGATAAAAAAAATTGTGCTTGATAGTAAAAAATGTGATCATGTTGGCCTAAGTGTTCTATTAAGTCGGCTACTAATTGAAAAAAGTTTTTAAATTTTTGATCCAAACATGTTAGCAAGGCAAGTAGGCGACTGGCTACTATTAGCTAGGTAGGACTCCCCATTTATGAAGTAGATAATTAGCAGAAAAAAAATGTTTGTCGGCAAGACATTTTATACAAGCTACCATTATAGCTAATGAGCAAATCAGCGAGCTATTTACCATAGTCACGCTTAATTTAGCTCGTAAAACACAAACCCTAGCCTTTAATCCCAGCCCTAAACCACGGACTTTAGGCTGGAACCCTAGCAATGACTCGAACCCCGATCCTAACCTCGAATTCCCAAACCGGAAATTTAACAGTCAAAACTTTTGATAAGTCCATTCAAGCAGTTTTTGAAAATATGGTGTCGATATTTTATGAATTTTCACCAATCGTAAGGAAAGTATCCCCTTCCGAGCCAACGTGGCGGCCATGTTTGCAGGGGAGAAGTTCCCATCAAAGGCATGAAACTTGACTTGCTTATTTCTCAACCGATTTCCATGAGGTTTACATTTTTTTTTTTTGTTAATGCCAAAACGTGCACTATTGAGACTGAACATTTTAAAAATAATCCACCAAAACATTTTTACCCATGAAAAGGATATTCCCATTTTTTGGGGGTTGGGGGTTCTTGCTGACGCCTTTGCCCCTACTAGCTTGTTTTTTTTGTTAATGCCAAAACGTGCACTATTGACACTGAACATTTTAAAAACAATCCACCAAAACAATTTTACCCGTTAAAAGGATATTCCCATTTTTTTGGGGGCGGGGGGTTCTTGCTGACGCCTTTGCCCCTACTAGCTTGGCGCACACAGCTCAACAGGGACGTGTTGTAATTGTTCCTGTCTCTGGGACGCCCATCTTTCGAAGCCTGTCTGATGTCACGATCAGGCAACGCTAAAGGTAGAGATAGCCCACCCAGTAGACCACGTTGAACAGGAGGAAGGAGGTGGGGAAAAAGACCCTGGAGTAGGCGTCCAGGTCCAGCAGGTCAACGTGGACGCGGCCCCTCCGCCACGCGCCGTCTCTGCAGTCGTCGTAGCAACAGAAGAAGGCGCCGCAGTCTTTGCCGTCCAGACACTGCGATGCGCACGTGTCGTCCAAGTCTTGCCAGTAGGTGGCGTTGTTCAGGGCCACCACCGTGTGAGGAGGCCGCCTGGCGTCCAGGACCGAGTAGTTCTGGAAACAAGACATGTGCTTACTTCACTCCAGCTCGAAACCGCAGCTCTGATTTGAAACTGTTCTTTGAAAGCCGAAACCTTGTGGGAAACCCTAATTTCAAACCTTACACTTCTCACAAAACCCTACCACTTGCTTGTTTGAAATCCTAATTTGAAAACCTCACTCTTATTTTAAACCCTAAATTGAGACCCTCTTAAAGCCTGAACATTCAAACACAACATAACATTTCACAAAATCCCAATATGAAACAAACACCCTTGAACAAAACCCTAATTTTAAAACCATAACCCTAGTTTATAAACCTGAACCTTTCCACAAAACCCTTATTTGAATCCCTAACACTTTCTTGAAACTCTAATTTGAAACAATAATCCTGTTTTAAAATCCTAACTTCAAATCCCAATCCTTGTTGGAAATCCTAATTTGAAACCCTAACCCTTCTTTGAAACCGTAATTTGAATCCCTAAGAATGTCTTGATATTCTCATTTGAAACCTTAACGTTTGTATAAAATGAAACCCTAACCTGTGTGCAAGCCGAACCAAGACTTGAACCCCGAGCCTGTGTTTGAAACGCACGCCCTGACGAGAAGCCCGAACTTAAAAAAAAGGGGTTGAAATGTCAACCTGCGTTTGAAACCCTAACCCTGACTTGAACCACTTATTTGAAGCAAACCAAATCCAGCCTGGAAACCCAACTAATGAAACACAAAACCCTGGTTAGAACCCCCCGTTGAAAACTCGAAAACAAGTTTGATCGCTCAATTTCAAACCCTAACTTGCAATTCAAAGCTGTGCTTGAAAGCTGAACATCGTGGTAAGGCGTGGCAAACTTACATGGCGTTTCCGGTCCATGCAGGTTGGCGTGCGGGTGCAGCTGGAGTAATAGTTGAGGGTGGCGTATTCCATCAGGGCGGCGAAGACGAACAGGAAGCAGACGGTGACGAAAAGGTCCATGGCCGTCACGTAGGACACGCGCGGCAGAGACGTCCTCGCCACCGTACTCAGCGTGGTCATCGTCAGCACCGTCGTGATGCCTGCAGGGGGAGTCGCAAAACGTTTCAAAGTCGAGTTTCAGGCCTGTGCCTGGCCGAACCATTCTTTGAAACCCTAACTTGAAGTTAGGGTCTCAAGACTGAGTTAAGGTATAAATAGTATCCAGCCTTTCTTTTTCGAACGCGCCGCTCCCCGCGAGGGTTCGCGGGCGTGTGGGAGCTTAACCCAGCCGTCTTTGGGCAGCAGGCGGGGTTCTGACTGGCATATGTCCTTTCGTCAAGTCGAAACGGCTAAAAGCTCCGCTGAAGCACTTTTATGAATGATTTCATTTCTAAACTTAGCTTATCCGTACGCATGATCTATTTAACGTCGTCCGGTCTTCCTGGAACATCCGCACGTGACTCTTTCCTACATCGCTACCTCGCCTGTACACTCACGTCGCCATGGCAACAAGTTGGCCCCGGCTATTTTGGGCCTGCATGCCACCGTGTTTCCTTTTTGCTTTACGCTGGCCTGTTTACAGGAAGCATCTGGACCCATGAAAAAAATTGTATTCAATGATTAGGGTTTCAAATTTATGGTATTGATTTCAAGCAGGGATATAGCTTTCTAATTAGACTTTCAAACACGGGGTAGGGTTTCAAATTTGGTTTTCCTACCAGGGTTAGAATTTCAAAATACAGTTTCAAAATCAAAATCAGTGGGCAATCTTAGGTTTGGGTTTCAATCAAATGTGAATGTTTCAAATGTGTGTTCAAAGCCTGACTCGACGTTTCAAATTAGAGTTTCAAGACAGGGTTTGGGTTTCAAGTTAGGGTTTTTTTGGTCTTGGATTAGGGTTTCAAATCAGGGATGGAAGCTCGGCATCTGGTTTCCAATTTGGGGTCCCCGAGGCAGGTTCAGGTTTTCAAATTCTGCTTTCAGAAAAGGGTTTGATCTTGGATCAAATTAGGGATTTAAATCAAGGATAGGGTTTCAAGTAAGCGGTTTAAGACTGTGTTAGCATTGCAAATTAGTGGTTCAAGACAGGGATATAGTTTCAAAGAAGGTTGAGGGTTGGAAGTCTTGTCTGACCCAAAGCGGTCCTGGCTGGTGTGGCATCCTTCTTGATCCAGAAGGAGACCCAGGACAGGACCACGGTGAGGATGCAGGGGATGTACGTCTGGATGGTGAAGTAGCCCATTCGCCTCCTCAGGTCAAAGTACACCGTCATCACCATGTAGTCGCCTGCAGGGGGCGCAAGCCGGCACCAAAAATCCCAAAACACTTACCGACCTTTAGCCATCATTCCGATACTCACTGAAGCCAAATGTCACTACTTTTGGAACTGTTCGAATCTGTGTGACGTTTGGACTTATGGGCTTCGGGTCTCGTGTACCTGCTGTGGTCTTGATGATGTCGGTGGTGTTCCTGAGACCCATGAAGTCAAATTGGTAGAGGCGCCAAGACTTTTGGTCCGCCGCCTCCACCGAGTTCCTCCGCCACTTGTAGACCATCTCGTCTCGCGGGTACCCGTCTGCAACGGTTCCAAAACACAGCGCGTGAGAACAGATGCTAGATGCTAACGTGCCAACAGTTGGTCTGCCATCCACTGTCTAATTTCCTCAATTAGAAACAATGATTATTTCACTGTCTGAGACGTAAAACCACATCAAAATACACAGAGAAGTGATGCTAACATGCTAACAGCCGGTATGCTAACATATAACTGTTAAGTTAGCATACCAACTGTAAACATACTATTGTTAACAAGAATCAGAACAAAGAAACGGCTTTGGCAGATGGATTAGGATTTTCCATCTTGCCTCACAGTCACGTTTCAAATGAGGAGATAGATGCCATTTTGCTAGATGCTAACGTGCTCACGCTATACACCATCTACTATATTGCTGTACGTCCAAGCGGGCTTCATATCAACATTGTAATGAGTTGATTAGTGGACCCGCGCCAGAGGCACGTCGCCCCCAACTCTATAGGATGGACGCCACGCGAAGAGGATGGAGTGGTTACCACGGCGACTGCTGTCACATCGGCTGACTTCCTTAAGTACAGGTAAATGGCTTTGAGTTTTTCCCCCGGCGGCTTTCATTACAGCAGGCGACCGCTTGTTCCAAAGCGTCCCCCAGGCGTGGAATAGTGTGAGGCAATTCATTTACACCCATGCGCCTCCTTTGAGGGGCCCTTTAAAAAGCACCTTTATTTACATAGCACATGCGCGTCCTTTTGTTCGAAAAAAAATCTAATTACTCGCGAGACCAAAGACACACTTCACAGGTGCACAATTCAATAGGAAACAAAGTAAAGGACTACGGTGACCAAAAAAACAAAACAAAATATTTATTAGGTGGCTTGTTCATTGTATAAAGGTGCAACATTTAAAAAGAATCGTAACACATTCAACGATATTGTAAAAACTAAAACGTAAATCGTATAAGATGACATTTATAAATTAATTCCAAGTAATTTGTTTCAAGTAGAAATAAATTATACATGGTTCACTTAAGTTGTGTGCGTGTGTGTAAATTTCACAAAACGGAATACAATAAAATGAAAAAGTTAACTATCCATACTCACAGCTGGAGAAGATAAGCGGACACGAGTGTTCGTCCATGGGAAAGTTGTGCAGCTGCAGCTGGCACTCGGCGTTTATGGTCAGTCTGCAATGACAAGTTGGGCGTTTCTTTCAAAATATGTCATTTGTCCGAATTTTTCCTTTGACAAAAAAATCAAAATGGGAGTGAGTCTGCTAGCTTATTGCGTACGCATCATGGAAAAAAGCCATAAACAGGCTACGCATAGCATTGATGTTAAAACCTTTCAAGCAATGGCTATTTCACGGCGGAGCACCACGTGAAGACAGATGCTCACAGGCATATATTCTTTATCCTTTCCGAAGAATGATTGATATTACTGCGTTATACTGCTCCCATGTGTTCAAGGCACAGACGCCACAAGAGCAGCACAATATCCATGAAATTGAAGCAAAAAAATGGGCCGTTACAAGTGTGGCCACACAAATAATTTGGCTTGGTTTTTTTCACTGCATTAATATGTGAGATCGCCACAAACCAGCGTTGCTCGTCGAAGTTTGGTTGTAAGAAATTTTGCTCTGAAGACCTCGCTAGAAATAAAATGACATTGCTATGATTCTCCCTCTCAAGGTTTAAAAAAACAAAAAATTCCAGATCGACTTTGTAGCTTCTCCAAAGTACAGCCTTAATGGTTTTGAACCTTCAAAAATGCTGAGAAAAATGAAAAAAATCAAAAAAAAAAAAAAAAAACAAAAAAAACAAC